CGCTTTGGCTGACCTTCGAAAGACTTCAACAAAGCTGCTGAAAATATTTGGGCACAATGAGATGGACGCTAATAAATCAAAAGGAGATATTTGTGACTGCCCGAAATCTGCGCTCATTTATAAATAAATATTATTTACTTTTTTCAGTTTGTTCGCTTTTTAAAAGTAACGGGCTGCCTGGTTGGGCTCCGACTGACATTTCATCTGAATGCCGCTGCTTTAAAGCTCTAACATAGATGGTGGAAAATTAAAATATGTATTTAAATATAAGTATTAAAAAAGCTATACAAATTCAGCTACTTTTTAGCTGAAGGCGCTACAAGCCATTGCTAACATAACGACTTTTAGTAGTTTTAAGATTTTAATTTCAAGCTAGCATTTTATTCTATCAAAAAATAAAAATAAAAAATCAACTATTTTTTCACTGATGTTTGTGCGCTTGACATAAAAAATAATATTGCCAGCTTTTTCTAAAATATGGAAATAGGTAGTATAGCTTAGTTTAAGCAAAATTCATTTATAATTTAAAGCACTTGATTATTAAATACATTAAAAATACTTAAATCTACCTTTTGAAGACATGAATGCCATGACATGAATGCTACGATTAATATTGCGACCCAAATAACGCAAAGTAATGTCTCTGCCGGGGCACTTAGCAGCTACAGTTTAGTGCCGCTTAAGTCTTATTTATATGCCCATTTATTAGTCAACACTTTAAGCTCTGCTCCACCCCCACCGTCCACCCTTCCATCTTTCATTTAGTTGCGTTAAAGTGCACACACTGCGTATGCGTGATTTTGCATGCACGAGTAAGCTTGGCCCTGTTGGCCCATTTGTATAGTTTTAATTGTTGCTGCATTGCTGTATAAATTACTTAAGAAACGTGAAGCATGTAAAAGGCACTATTGCCGCAATGATAAGCGCTTAATTTGATTATCTGCTGACCATTGCTTCGAAATTTATTTAGTGTTAAAGGTCAGCCCATTTGCGTTCCCTAGCCAATGGATTTAGTTCAGGCCCTGTCTGCGTCAAGGTCTGTGTGCTAAATATCTTAACAAATTGACAACATAATTGGTAGCTTAGAATGCCTCATATTTCTTTTTTTCCTCTTCATTTTTTGCGCTATTTAGCTATGCTAACGAATTCGTTGTCAAAGTCTTTTGTTTACGCATTATTTATACGAAAATCGCAACTGATTTTTATCACACTTTCAACGCATTTCATTATGGTTAAAAAATGGTTAGTCTTTTAAAACAATGGGCTATACAACTTTTTTAATAAATTATTAATAAATTATACACAAATAATTAAACGCGAAGCATTATTTCTTACAAAAGCATTTCAAAATGAAACTCTTATTTTTGCTAAAATTCTAAAACCCTTTTAAACTCAGCAAAAGTATTATAATTTTTTTAATTCTTGATTTCCTTTTATTAACTTTCCCCTTAGTTCATAGCTTTTTTATAGACGTGACTTAAAATGACAAGAATTACTTCTTCAAGAACTGTACAGAGACATAAAAAAATGTATGAACCTGAAAAATATTACCCTTGCTAAGTTTATACCGTTCTCGAAATGGAACAGCCCAAGGCAAAAGGGCATTTTCCAATTCAGCCAGAGCATAATAAATTAACAAATTTTCTTATTTTTTTAAATTTATTTTATCTCATAGTAATAGAAATTTCCTTAAAATAATGTTGATTCGATTGTAATTAAAAACTAAGAATATGCCAGACATTACGATTTCCATCTTCCACATTTCGAATAATTTCAGACTTTATTAACTCCACCTGTGTACTTATGTCTTGGAGAAGCACAAATTGTGAAAATCTATGATTATTTTCAGCCTTTTATTAATGGAACAGTTGACTTTATGAGCTTGAAAATACCAAACAGGTATTCAGAAGCAAACATATGCCGTCAGCATTCATATTTTGTGTTGCGCTTTTTATTGATACTAATACGAAACTGAATCCGAATACTTGCCGTATAATCGAAACGCCGGCTGTCTGTGAAAGAGATGCGGAGAGCGGTTCTGTTTGGCACCTCAACACCAGTTGGACAAGAATTTCAACCGCTGGAGGCAGACGGCTTCCAAAGACAACGGCGGCGAGCCAAGAGCTAAGCGGCTATTGTTACGAGTATAGTTATGTGTATACCCAATGCATGAGTATGTATGTATATTTCTATTTCTTTTGCCTTTTTCGAATATCAGTTATTAATTTATAAATAGTTTCAACTCTTTTTTTTCAACAAAAAACTTGTTTTTGGTCACGAGTTTCTGTTTACTTTGAAAATTCTAATAAGTGACTTGATTTTGACTTTTGGTAATTTTAATGGTCGAACATTAAACTAGTCTGTGTGTGTACAACCAATAACGAGTCTTGGCTGGCCAGAGAGACCTTGACTTTCTTCAAAACTCTGTGAATAGCATCTGCAATTAGCCAGCCATAAAAAAGCTAAGCTTAGTTTTGCACTTGGCTCGTTTTGAAAGTAAAACGGCAAGTGTTGTTCATTATGTGTGTGTGTATATAGAAAGTCATATGAATAGTCATAATGTTGACAATATGCTTTGTTAATTTTTACCTTTGTATTTGACAGGCAGAAAAAAAGTTTCTAGTTTAGCGGACAAAATATTTATGCGACATTTCACAGTTCGTTGCTCGCTAGATTGTTTTGCTTTTAATATTTCTTTAATAACTTTTCACTTGGATAAAAGTTTAAATACGTTTTTGAAAAAGTCTCTTTTCTGTACCAATTATCAAAACAATTACACCACACATTAAAATTACAAAGAGAATTGTTTATAAACATAATTTCCAACGAAAACAAGACTTTATATATTTGGGTTCAAAAGACATTTACGTTCATAAAATTAAACAAGATTGATTAGAACTTTTGAGTAAATGATATAAAATTTGCATTTCAAAAACAATTTATTTATTTATGGGTTTAAAAGATCTCGACGTTCATACACACAAACAGTCAGCAATAAGTAAACAAGAATAGATAATCATATATCACTTTTCTAAACTAATTATTCCCCTAGCAACTTTACAAGCAATTAAACTTATTTTTGAAATCTTTACTTGCAATTGAAAAGCGAGAGTCTATTTGCCAAGTGTGCTGAATATATGGATATTGGCATAAAAGAACTCGATGTTCATACAGACAAATAGTCGGAAATAGCTGCCACGCCTCTCTTTGCTCTTTGCTCGTAGGGTCTGTATTTATATGCAAATTTGTTTTGTTTTAACAACTGCCAGAATCTGCTTGCCTCACACTCCACAATTCATTTAGAGTTAACATTCGGACACGCAATTACGTATAGACCTCATTTATTTCTAAAAGAAGAATTCCTGACAGCCGGCAAACAAAGAGGTGCGCATAAATTGTTGCTTTGTTTTAAAGAGTAGTGAAGAAAACCTTCGGCAAATATCAATTAAAATGTGCACAAAAGCTTCGCCGTATGGTTGGTTGTATTACCACCAAGCCCACTTTTATCTTCCGCCTGCGCATTTATCATCAATAATAAGATAAAGCACCGACTTTTTTAACGGCTTACGCACTCTCGCAGAAGCAACAACAACACAGGAAATACGGGTACGAGTATGTAAGTAGTTTTCACTCAAATATGCGAAGCGATGTTGCCAGTCTTCAGTCGACTGCTGGCTGCCTAAAACAAATATTTCAAGGTAATAAACTATGCCCGACCAAAGTCATACATACATAGTCGTATGTACATACTTGTACATATGTATATACATAGGCCGTCTGGATGCAATATCTCGTCTGCGGCACCAAATGCATTTTCATTTCATTTGCTTGTTTATTTGGTTTGTTGTTGGCTTTGTCGACCGTGCATGTCACTTGCATTTGTTTTTGAAAGTTGTTTGTTTCCTGTTGCGCGCTAAATAACAATTTAATTAAATAGAAAAAATACATAACTCGCCATGCAAAATGCAATTTTAGCACTCAAGAGATTTGAAAGGCTTACTAATTATAATCCACTTGGCACTTTAATATTAAAAACAATTGCCAATCCGAAAGCCAACAGCCGTCCGTCTAACGGTTTTCTAAGCAACTGAACCCTCTCTGGCAACGCCAGTGAGGCGCCCACAACTTGAAGCAATAAATCAATAGATAGAATAGCAACAAAAAAGGATAACTGGCACATTGTAATCGATGCTCAGCCACTCGTATCAAGTGCTCTGACACACATTGTCCTATTCACACCACTTACTGTGTAATGCCTTTTAAACGAACTAATTAAGTGCACTTGAACGCAAAAAATAGCCATGAAGGTAAATGTCAATCAAGTATTGGATGCATAGATAGAGCAAACATTTATATTTAGTTGATAGCCAAATTAGTTTTACCTTTGCATATCGTTCATCTTAGTTCAATTTTTTACTTTCTAGGGAGTTAAAAATTACCATTTTATAGATAGTAATAAAATGCTATTCTCAAACATTTTATTTTTAATTATAGTTTTTACATTTTTGACTCATAAACCGTTTAATAACATTTGTTTTGGGATATTTATTGTTTTTAAAAATAATCCGAAAAATCAAATATTTTTCATCAATAAATTAAAAATTGCGGGAAATAAATTTTGATAAATATCCATCGTCGTCGTGTAATTATTATTAATTTCAAATATTACTACAAAAATATTAATAATACGATTTTAAAACCATGAAATCCTAAAATTCTTATCTAATCCATTGATAATATTTCAATTAGCTGTTTTGACTTATTTGTTTTTAAAAAACATGCAAAACACAAATCCGACATGAAAGGTTCATAAAATAATTTTTTTCAAAAGAAAAAAGCTTAATTACAACTGACATATCGCAATTATTATGTTATTATATTATTATTATATCATATTATTCGTGTGCATTTGAAAATTACAGATTGCGATAACGATAGCTCGTTATAGCTGCGACTTGTGATTTTAAAGAATAGTGATAATATCACAGGCATTAACAATCGCTCATCTCTAATGACACTATAGCGCGCTGCTCGTTTTGCAAGCTAGCCGTCTTTGAAACACAGTTCCTCGAAAATCAAAAGGTAAGAACTGCAGTATTTCAGTAAATATATATAATAACAAAACCCTTTTCCAAAGGAGGTGATGAGATTCCCTATCGATGGCTTCCAGAACGCGTAATACCCGCCGTACGCAGAATGTGGCAGCATCACAAATTGAGGACGATGACGAACCCGGTCCGAGTACGCGCCGATCTGCTGGACGCGGTCGGAGATCGACACCACAGCCAGAAGTGGAGAGACGCGATGAAAAATTGCCCGCCATACTTAATTACATATTGCGTCATATTGCGAGCAAAGTGCCCATAAAAATGAGCCAACTGCAACAACTATCTGGTGGCAACAACAACGAACAAAACCAACGTGTGGCGGCCGTCATGGAACTGCTGAAGGAGCATTATGGGATTGAGCTAAAGCAGCTACCGGGTCCTGGCAAGAGACTCATTTGCATAGCCGACTCGCCTATTGCATCCGCTTATGAGCTGACAAAACAGCAGCGTCCCGTCTACACATTGCTCTACATAATCCTCACTTTCATCTTCATGCGCCAAAATGTTGTTGAGGACGAACAACTTTTCCGTTTCCTTAATCTCATGAACATTGATGTGAATGAGACGCATAGCTATTTCGGTGAGAATTTGAAGAAACTCATCGAGGAGACATTTGTAAAGCAGATGTATTTAAAGCGCGAACGTCAGCCAATTACTTCCTTCAGCGAACCAAAAATCCAATTGAGTTGGGGTCCGCGTGCTGAGGCCGAAATATCCTTTGACGATATTATTGCCTTCTCCGCCAAGCTGTTCCGCGAGGACCCATCGTTCTTCGATCAGCAACTGAATATGGCTAGAAGATTGGCCAATCCGGAGGCATATACACAGAGGACTCCAAGTGAGACATCCTCTGTGGATTTGGACAAGGATTGGACGGAGCAAGATTTGGATCTGTCAGACGTCGAGGCTTCACAATTGGAAAATGAACTAGGATAGCTAAAGCCAAAGAAAATGTTTTTTCTTAAATAAATCTAGATATAGCTGCTATTGCTCATACTTCTATATATTATTTAAACACAAGGAAATAATTTAAAAGAAATTGGGCCTTCGCTAGCATTATGTAAATAATCTTACGCAATTCAATGGATAAAGTATAAAATTACATTGTGAGCCACTTGAGATTTTTACAAAACTCAGCCACGAATACATATTTCAGAACAAACACTTCTGGCTAACTGTTTAGAATCCAACACAATCCTGAAACTAAATCATCGCTTGTCAAAGGCGAGTCCGCCCTCTTAACCAAATAAAAATACACACCAGCTGGAAGTGAAATTTCGACAGTTATTGTCTATATTTCTGTGTACATCATAGGTTGATCTTAAAAATGCAAACCCATACAATAGTAAAAGAAAAATCAGGCAGCCCAATAAATAAAAGGCAGCCCACGTATAAGTAATGACTTGCACTCAAATTTAACATTAAACGAATTATATTACTAATATTTTGCATAGTCCGTGTCCATAATTAGTTTGCCATCCTTGTCCTTGAGACGCACACGACCATTGGAGTAGCGCGTCTCCTGGCTGCCATCCGGATAGACCATTTTGACGGTACCATCCGGATATTCACGCCGCTTATTAAGCTTCGTGTGTATCTCCTTCTGGCCATTTGGCAGATTGAGTATCTTGTCCCCATTGCGGAGCTGGACGAGATGTGTGCCATCCGCGTAGCGCCACTCCTCCAGCTTTTCCGTATCACTGGGATCCACAATTTTGATGGTGTTGTTGGGGAAATGTATTTCGATAACGCCATTCTTGTGACGATGCTCGGTCTGGCCATTAGGAAACTCGAGAATCTCCAAGCCATCCAAGTAGCTGGTATGCCACGTATTTGTTTCGGCATAATAATATTTGACTGTGCCAGCCCGTATGTCCGTCTCCTTGATGTCCTTATTGAAATAAAGCATCCGCACTGACATCCCGTCGGCGCTAATTTTCTTGAGATTGCCATTGGGATACCAAATATCTTTGCTACCATCCGCATTTGTAATTTCACGCTTCAGTTCCGTGGCTGTGCTATCGACATTATTCTCGGCTTTCGAGTGCACCTTTCTGGTCGTTGGTGTCACTTCAAGCGCCTCCGAATCAGCGGAACTGGAGCTGGATGCATAGCTTTCCTCTAAAGCCTCCGGAGGCTTCTTTGTTCTTCCCAGTGAACGACTACGGCTGCGAGTATTGGCATTTGGAGCATTACTGCCTCGGCGTCTTGTTGACTCACGTTCTTTAGCTGGCTTCTCCATTTCCACAACATCCAAAGATCTGGTACGTCGCCCATTTTCATCCAATATCTGTCCGGATGAGTTAGGTGTCTTTTGGGAAACAAAAAGTTGATGGGGAAAATGTTTAGTTGTTATTAGAGAATATGGTAAGGCATTATAAAAGACCAAAACATACCAAAGTTGTAAAATGCAAAAAACTTTTTGATACTAAGAGTTGTTTTTTTAACGATTGTTCCTATAGCAGTTATATAATATATTAAGTCATTCTACAAAACAAAAATCGTAAATTGAAACCACCGTTCCTATATAAAGTAGTAAGCCTACATAGCTTCTGAAACAAACTTATCCTGCATCTAAATAAGACAACTTTATACGCCAAACTTGATATTCCTAGCTGTTATAATTTAAAAGATCTCGCCGTTCATACAGTCGAACAGTCGGTCAGTCGTTCGTCCGCCGTTCAAAGCTTAACAATTTAAGAAAGTATTAACACTTTCAAAATTATGGTACTCACCACCTTTGGAGCCAGACGTGCAATGTTTCTATTGATCTCCTGCAACATTTTGTTGTTGTTCTCACGTCCCAATCTTATCAACTCCTGCTCCAGACGCTTGTTCTCCTTGCCCAGCAACTCTATCTCATCACGATAGCTGCGTTGCTCCTTCTCAAGGGCACGCATTTGGGCCCGCAGTCGTGCCTGCGCCGACACATGAGCCTGTTCCTTTTGTTTAAGCTGCAGCTGAAGGGCATCCACCTCCTGCTTTAGTGCCGCCAACTCCTTTTTCTCCTTGCTGTTCACGTTGGACTTATGTAGACGCATTTGTTGCTCGAACTTGCGTCGCTCCTCCTCGATTTTCATGCGCTCGTCATGCAGATAGATCTCCGCCTGGATTTTCTCATCATGCACGCGCTCCATGGCCTCCAGATGTTCCTGAGCGCAACGCGCCTTTTCCAGCTCATGTTGCTGCTTCAGGTGCAGGAGTTGTGAGTTTTGCTCCTTAAATGTGGCAATTTCGGTTTCAAGTTCCTGCAGACGTTCCCGCACCAAATTTGCTTTGGCATGCAGCTCCTGTGCGAGTGGCTCCTCAGTGGAGGGGCATTGTGCCTTCTTTTGTTCCAGAGCTTGAAAGAGGGCTGTCTTGAATTGCTCAAAGAGCTCCACATTGCCATTAACAGTGCTGTTTGCTGATAAGGTGGCTCCATCGGTATATTCGTGGGTGTCATTGGAGTCGGAGAAACGCACGCGTACCTTAGCTTTGCCTACTTGAATAGGCGTGAGAGTTAAAGTGCTGTCGCCAACAGTATCTTCATCGCTTTCCAGCTCCTCCTCCTGACCGATGATTTCCTTTACCTCCGGCTGGAGGCGCATCTCCCGCATTTTCTGTGTCACCACAATGTGATCGCTGTCATCGGGCGCCTCGTACCGCTTCTCTTTGCGTGCCATAAAGGCGCGTATGCAGCTGGAATTCATGTCGATATTACCTTCGCGTGCCTTCTGTTCCAACAGCTCAAATATGCTGACGTTGCCCTCCTCCTCGACCCGAATCTGAGCAGTTCGCCGCTGAAGCATTGGCAACGGTTTGATTTGTTGGGTGTCCAGCACCTTGGCCCAACAGACGCCAGCCATTGAGCTGGCATCTGTGGAGTTTTCGTCGTCGGCCGATTGACCCGGCATATGGCCCATCTGCTCTTTTATCTCCATGAAACGCACCTTGGGCGATATGCTATCACTTGTCGAAGCACACGAAGACTTGAGATCAGGCGTTGAATTGCACGCATTATTGGCGCTTAACAGAAGCTGCTGAAAGCGTTGCTCGGGTAAAGTAAGTGGTGGTGGGGGATCTAATTCTTTACTCTTAGTTGGTTCCGCGTCCTTGCGCTTTTTTAATATGCTCGCTTTCTTCTGCTGAGGCGGAGGCGCAGGCGCAGCTGCGCGATATTGCGGATGCGCCTTCGAAAACTTGTAGCGCGGCAAATTATCCAGACGCAGCTGATCGGGATGTATCTTAAAGCGTTGTTTTAAGCCTTCTCCACGTCGCAGAAAAGGACGTTTTGGTTTTGCGGATGCTTCCTTGTCTGGATGCAGCTCCTGCAGGCTATTCTCTATTTGGTAGGCTACATGATGACGCGGCATTTCGGGTTGTTCTAGGTCATCACACAACGTTGCATCCTGGTCCTGCGAAATGCTGTCCTCTGTCATATCATGTTCTGTTTGAAGTTCATTTTGCAGCAGTCCCAGCATTTGGTACATATTGCGTTGTTCTAAGCCCAAAATTTCGCGTTGTTTTGATTGACGCTCCTCCAACAATCGCTTTTGTTCCTCCTGCCAACGACTCAGCGCAGCCAGGCGCGTTGATATGTCCAATTGTGAAGTCGCAGCAGCGACGACGTCGTCACCGCTTTCAATCATTTTCTACACTTTAAAAAAACACCATCAAAACAAATAAGCAACACAAACATGCACTCTGTGTAAAGAAATTCAAAACAGAAGCCAGGATGCGTAAGTAGTGTTGATAAACGTTGCGCGCTTGTGGTAGCGCCGAAAATAGTGCTACCATATTGACGCAAAAGTTTGAAAGGAAACAAAAAGGCACTAAGTGTACTTTATTACAGTTTAACTTTATTTACAGTCCTACAAAGCTAAGTTTTGGTAGACGCCCTTTACATATCGTCATCGCGTGCGTCTTCCGGTTCGTCAAAATCACGGACTTGCACATCGGCATCTTCACCATATTGTAATATGCTATCAACCTGCAACAAAAGATCACCAATGCTCTCTTCGTCCTGCGAGTCCAAGGGGAAAAACCGAACCAAGCTGAAAATAAAATGTTTAAATTTATAAAACGAGCGTAAGAATACATATAAATGCAAATGTAATTAATGGAGCATCTATAAAGAACTTTTAGACAAAATATATTACAAATCAAAACCTACCACTATTAAATTTCATAAATATATATGAAAACTGCGACCGTAATAAATAAATAGCTAACACTTGTTGACTAATATTCAAATTGCATAAATAAATTTTAACAATTAACACAAAATAGGTGTTCTGTTTAAAAGAATATAAATAATGTAAATATATAATGTAATAAACTTATACTAAAAACTATGTGATTTAAACTTAATTAATACATTTTTATAAAAAAAGAATAATGATCATATATTTTCCAATGTTGGCAACTTTCTCCTCAGGCCAAAGGGTAATATAAAATGTTGATCAAAAACAATAAACATTAAAAAAGAATCAAATGCTTTAAAAAAGGTACCATGTTCGCGGTCGAAAGTGTAAAATCACATTTATTTTTAAACATTTTTAATTTGCCGCGCGATATGGCAGCGCCAAAGTGCGATATGTAGCCCTGGCGCGACATGGCATTTTTCCGCAACGCGTCATTACAGACTTTTTAAGTGTTTTCAGAAAGTTGAATCTAGATTTTAATTAAATATGTGCAATGTACCAATGATTTTGTAAATTACTTGATTTCAAAATGAATTATTTATTATGGCTGCAATGAATATAAATACTGCAAGTGGCCGCATGTGAAAACAATAAATCGCCTAATTTTCGTGCCCGAAAATTTGGCCAAAAAATTGCAAACACACAGAAAGAAGAAACTAAAAAACGCTGAATTTCTAGAATCACCAAAAAAATAACGCCATCCAATTCGAAAATGGAATTTCAGGAGCACGACATGGACTTAACCAGAGTCTATGTGGTGCGCTCAGCTAAAGGGGTCGATATGCTATGTGTGGACGACTATCTGTATCATTTCGATAGGATTGGCAAGAACAACACATACCGTTGGCTCTGCAATCGTCGCAAGGATAAAGCAGCGCCTTGCAAGTCCAGAATTTCATCCATATTGACCAATCCGTTGGACAAGGCGACCCACATGGTGGTCGATGTTGCGATGGCACACACACATCCACGTTGCAGCGATCATGAGATTACAAAAGTCTCCCAACGCAAACTGTTGGCCAATACGGTGGAGAAGTTCTCAGTGCTGCAGCCGAAGCGAGCACGAATCTATGAACGTGCCACAGCTTCAATGTTGCCACCAGAGTGGATAACAACAAAGGCCGAAGAAGGAAATGCAAAAAATGCCGAATTTTCCATACATTTGGACTTTGAGGTATTACATTGTTAAAACTCATTGTTAGAACTAATTTTTGTAGCCTGTATCTGAACGGGAGGAAAGACCGCTGAAAATAGTCCGTTCACCTGTCCGCAATGTAGACTTGTCCCGCCTGGACACAAATTCATACAAATCATATATAAGCTTCTTAAATAGTTGTCATACTAATGATTGATGTAGCAAAGTATACACACATATTCAATTTTAAAAGCTGTGGCGGTTCTTCCCGACGTTTAACATTCTACTCATTAAATAAATGCTCAATTATCAATGTTTGCAGGACAAGGATCGTGTGTACATGCTGCACCGCCGGGATGGTCGTGTGATGGTCTGCATAAATGGTCAACTGTACTATCTGGCTGGGAAATCCAGCAAAACCGATTCGTATTTTTGGACATGTGTGCGTCAAAAGGACATAGACTGCACGGCCAAGATATGCACGGAGCCAACAGTCTTGGGTGCACATCGTTTGCATGACATGGAAACAGATGCGCATATACACCCGAATTATTCGGCCGCCAAGCTAATGCACATGTTTTCCAAGCATCAAATCGAAATGGTCGACGATGAGAGAATTGTTGAGGTTCTTGAGGAGTGCCCCTACTTGGAGTACATCGAGGAAAACGAGCACACAACAGCGGATGAAACGAAAAATGAGGATGCCGAGTCGTTTATTATCGAAGACTGTGAGGAGAATTTTGAAGAGTTTATGGATTTGGATCCTGTCGTGAGCGAATTTCAATCAGTTATAGCCACACAGGAGGACGAAACACCGACTTGGCCAAGTGCTACGGATGTAATTAATAGTTATGTCACCCCTGCGGATTATAATCCAATAATCGAACGCGATGTAACCAAATTCACATTTCTACCTTCGGCTAAAGGAAAAAAAGTTCTTTGTCTGAATCGTCATCTCTACCACTTTGATTCGCAGAGTCGTGCCAACGGGCATATGTTCTTTACCTGCATAATGCGACGGGATAAGCATCATTTCTGCCATGTGCGCGTCACCATAGATCCCCGGGAAGACGGACCCGTCGTTACACGCATCAATGGAAAGCACACGCATGCCCCCGACATGCAGGAGATCCTCAAACGCATTAACCATCAGAAGAAATTGGACAAAATGCAGGCAACTGGTGCTAGGCGTAAAAACATGGAACAACGTGCTATTAGGGATGAACCAGAATTTTATGAATTTTCTGATGAAAAACGCATGGATAATCATAGTAGCGATAGCAATTGTGATCAATTAGACGACGATAGTCAGCACACAAAAGCCAAAGCCAATATAGCGATGAAAAAGGTTATTGGCATTGACGGCATTAAAATGGAGCCGCAGGCACACAACAAGGCGGCTCCCATGATTGTCGAATATATGAAGGACAGTTCTGATAATATAAGTGCTAAAATAAAAATTTTGCCCAATGCCTTGGAAGGCATGGACGCGGAAATGGAAGCAGAGGTCGACGCAGAATCAGACAATGTAAGGCGACCGCCACAGCCACAAATTACGAATGAGAGGCGCCGCAAGGCACAGACCATATCACCACAAATGCCTCAATCATCTGACATGGATTTAACCAAAATTTGTAAGCTACGTTCGGCCAAAGGCAGGGAGTTGCTTTGCGTCGATGGTTACATCTATCATGCTAAAAATCGTGGTCTCATTTCCCGGAATTACTGGGTTTGCATCAAGAGTCGCGATCCGGAAATCAACTGCAAAAGTCGCATCTCGACGGCCACACAAAAAAATGGCACCATACGAGTATTACGCGTTTATAATTATCATAGCCATCCATACAGCGAAGATGATATTAAGCGGCGCCTATTTAATGAGGTCAACAAGAAGAGCAATAAGAAATTAAAATTTCGACCGCTGCATTTCATTGAGAAATCTCTGGAACAAATTAAACAAGAGTATGGAGACTTGGCCATTGAGCGGCTAAGCGTATCTAATCTATCCGATGATATTGTGGTGCACAAAAAACCGCGCACAAGTGGTGGAACCAATTCGAGTGCTAATAATACCGGCAGTGCGGGTCCAGGCAGCGTGCTGTTCAGTCTAGAGGAACAGCAACAATTGGAGGCAAACGAGGAACCTTTGGATGAGCTTGCAGGGCAGGATATAGAAGAGGACTTCGTTGTCGAGGAGGAGGAGGAGGAAGCTGAAGAGCAATATATAACCATGGAGGAGTCAGAAATGTCTGTCATTATGGACCATACGGACAACATTATCGAGGTGGTCGAAGAAGTGGCCGACTTCGAAAGCTATGCTGACCTTGAGTATGTAAAAATTCCAATCAAACCAGTTAACTTGTTTGAATGCAGCTTTGAAAGCTTTTTAATACACTAACTAAGGGAAATAAGTATATTGAGTTTAAGCAAAAATAGGTAACCCATAAGTTCAAAAAGTTGTCATTTTGGTTGAGTTTGTTAAAATCGTTCATTTAATAATTAAACCTAAAATTTGTGATATTTATCTTTAGGAATATAAAGTCATTTTGTATATACAAGTAAATATTTCCCGCACTTTTACCCCACTTATGGGGCAAATTTTCCCGAAGCAATTATTAGGTGACTTAACCCGAAAAATGTGATATAATTTAAGATTAGAGGTTTTTTTTTCAAATTTTACCCCACTTGCGTGTTGATTTTTCTAACACAATTATTTAAATAATTCAACCCGTTATGTGTAGAAAGAACTCAAGTCTTATCTAAAAATAATTGAAGATAAAACAATTAAACAAACATTCTCATATTTATATAGATAGATCCGGAAATGCATTTCATACGATTATTCCGGTCACACCATAATTACCGATTTGAAGACTTTTTTTTTATAATAAAATTTAGCGTATGCTCTAGTCGTTTAGACAAACTTATAGCAACCGCACTTGTTTTGAATTGATTAAAAACCTGTAACATTTGTGGCTTCGACTACAGTTGAGTTCTGAAGCTGCACCCGTATACCCATTAAATCAGGTAAACTAAACTAAAATAATGTTAAATTTTTATAGAAAATACTAAGAGAGGGGACACACTCTAACCGCGTCTGGACAAAAATATATTTTAAATCATAAATAGCGCACACACAAATATGCTCCAAAAATAGATGCAAATCAGAACAAACTAGGTACATACTTTCACTATTTCTTGGCAAACATAGAAACCACATACGACTGACTATTCAGGGCTTTTTGGCTGACGTGTTTCTAATAAAAACCGGTTCTGCAAGGCACTCGATTTGTGGAAAAACCAAATAAAATATTCATTTTTTGCAACAGACCCATTTATACCATGAAGCTCTATGCTGTCTCCGATGGACCGCCTTCGCTGGCCGTGCGCATGACCCTGAAGGCGTTGGACATACAATATCAACTCATTAATGTGGACTATTGTGCAATGGAACATCGCAGCGAGGAATATGCCAAGGTGGGTCAGCAATGCTTCAACAATTGTAAAAATATTACTCATTTCTCTTCACTTTTATAGATGAACCCGCAAAAGGAAATTCCTGTGCTGGATGATGATGGCTTCTATCTGTCGGAGAGCATTGCCATTATGCAATATCTGTGCGATAAATATGCTCCCAATTCAGAGCTGTATCCACAAGAGGTCAATCAGCGTGCGCTGGTCAATCAGCGTTTGTGTTTTAATATGGGCTTCTTCTACGCTCCCATTTCAATGCATGCCATGGCGCCCATATTTTATGATTACCAGCGCACCCCCATGTCCCAGAAACGGGTGGAGAACGCCCTAGAAGTCTTGGAGACATATTTGCAACGCACGGGCACCAAATATGTAGCTGGCGAACATGTTACTATTGCAGATTTTGCGCTTATCTCGGCCACACTGTGCCTAGAGGCCATATCCTTTGATTTATCACCCTATTCGCTGGTTCAGAAATGGTACGCCACCTTCAAGGCTGAATATCCCGAGCTGTGGGAAATCGCCAATAGCGGCATGCAAGAGATACACGAATTTGAACAAAATCCCCCCGATTTGTCGCATGTCCACCACCCGTTTCATCCAACACGAAAGCCCAAGGCTTAAGTTTTGACTAAAAAACACCCCGCTAGTTTTAATTTATATTGTATGCCTAGAAAATATGTATATATAGAATATGCAAGCAAATAAATTACTTATTACTCTTTAACCACATATGTATGTCGGGTTGAAAAACTTGTTATTGAAACTTATTGGCTATACGAGAAGGAAGAAAGATCGTATTAAATAGCTTATTAAAAATATTGTTCTATATATACTCCCATTTATTTTCTTTCCCAAAGCTTTATTTGTTTGTACTCTCTGCGCCCAAGTAACCATTTATAGCAATTATTTCTGTTGGAACAGGATTTTCTTTCTATAGTTTTTGTTTCTACTCTGCCCACAAGAGACAATAAGGGATCGAAGATTCTTTTAGCATTTTGGCTATAAAGGTTTCTATTTTTAGCTAAGATATCCTCAGGAAAACGACATAGGAAATAATTCTATAACTCACCTAAAATCCTCAATGAGTGCGCCTATAGCCTCTGTTAGCTTTCGATATTTCTCACCAAAGGCCGACCCTATCGTTACTTCACCCAACAGACTGTGTGTATCCGGCTCCAGATACATCTCCAGTTGCTTTCGTGCGTCGGCATTCAGTAAATCTACTTTGGTCAGCACATTTACATGTGGTTGCTCCAAATTGGCCATCACACTGAGAGCGGCCATTGTGCCGGAAATGAATTTGGCGCCATCGACCATGAACTGTGAATCCAGACAAAAAACGACACAGACGCGAAAGTTCCAGGACTCTAGTAATTGTACCAACTGTTTGCCCATCTTAAGATGTGTAAATAACTCGATTTGTCCGGGCATATCGAATAATATATAATCATCATCGGGTTCTCCCAACATTATCTCGTCGTCAGCCCCGCACAGTTGCGCCTTCAGCCAGTCCTGATTTTCGATGAGGAACTCGAGGCAGAATATTAAGCCCCCATTGGGTCCATAGTGCAGTTCCTCATCCTCCATGGCATCGTCCAAATGAATCAGATCCCGTATATCCGCCAGAGCCTTATAGGAAAAGTATTCTGCGGCCGGATCTAAATTAACAACTTGTATGTTCCGTTTGGTGTCGAAGCCATGCTGTTGCATTGTGCTGCAATACGTGGACTTGCCACTGCCCGCAGGTCCCACAATAAGCTGAGCAAATCGCATTCTCAACCGTATAAAGTAAGAAATGTAAACAAAAATAAGCCGCCGCGTGCAGTTCAAGCAACAAAGCAGTGTGAACGTTTGCTTTGCAGCATAAAATACCTCAACCTCGTGCTGAGCGCAGCCAATTGAAACATCTGGCAACGCTCTAAGCAGTTCTTTTTTTTTAAATTAGGGCTATTAATTTTCAAATATTTATACTGTTTAATCTCAATAGATTGGACACTCGATAGTTCTGACAACGCTTTTTTATCACTTCAGTAATGTAAACATTGCGTTTATTTCTATTGCATTTATTTCAGAAACCACACGTTTTGCGTTTAAAAACCAAAAATATTGCAATTTTTGTTAAACACATTTATTAAATACACGGAATGCCTCGATAATCTGCAACTGTCGGTATTTCGGACATTTTACAATATTTTACAATTATTCTTTATAGACCATATATATATAATCTAATTACATTAGAAAAAATAAAAATAATACCTGAAAATAACACTTTGAAAAATAGTGATAAAAAGAACTGAATAGATAACACATCTGATTATCAGGAGGAGATATCAACGTTGATATTTTCAAGGAAAGAAAAATTTGTATATCAAAATTGGTCGATATTTAAACTTACGATACATATTATATCAAAATTTGTGAATATATCGGCACGAAACGAGAAACGAAGAACTCGACAAAATTCTAAAAGTTGCAACTTGCAATAATTATATATAGAAATTATTTATTTATAAATTGTCTATATAGAAATTATTTATTGACGAAAAGCTAATATAAAAAGGAGAGAAAACAATAAAAACAAGCAGCAGAATATCGGTAAGTGTAACATAAACTAATTGTAGAATGGAAGACATCTCTTAAAAGTTTCCCATCCTAACAATAAAGTAAAATCATCCTTTTCTTGTACTATCTGTAAGTAGTGCACTTAATGTGTGTTACCTTTACAATATACACTAATTAATTATGTACATACATAAATGTACAAATGTTATGAATTCGCATCAGACTTATACCATTTTGTTATAAAGCGAAAAGTGTTTGACAGAAATGGTGCAAATTTCCAGAAACCGTGACTGCTGCTTAAATTCTTAGAAATTGTCTTTTTTAATGTGCTATTTTCATTTATTTGGGACTCCCCTAATTGCAAGTTTGGCTATCGACTTACGCGAAAACACCAATACTTAATATTTTATTCAAAGCTATTAAAGTATAAAAACATGAAAAAAAAATAATTTAGCTAAGCTTAAGATATCTAATGCCTAGAAAGTTGAAAGCACTTTTAGCTGAAATTTGTTATTTAGATTTGTTTTGCTTTAGCAGCTAATTACGGGGTATTTGCATATGCATGTGTCATAACTGTCGAACAAAAATTGATGAAAAGTCATATCGAATATTATTAAGTATACATAAATGCCGCAATATGGCGTCCATTTGCAGCTGTCACGGCACTCTGTCAGTTAATTAAATCTTTGACCACAAGTCATAAACAAAAAGGTCGATCTATTGTTGCATTGACACGAAAATTTACATATGATGGAATTGATTTATCAAAACGCTCAATCATGGGCACAGCACCTACCCACAAGCACCACCACCACTACTCCAGGTCTCGGTCTCCGTCAGAGAGTTGTGGGCTAAGCCTAATTGCTGATAAACATCTAAATTGCGCTTCGGAACGTGCGCACGCGCCACACACAGCTGTTGGTTATCTAACGGTACCCTCGGCTTCTGTCAGGGCACTGGCACAAGTGTGAGCGTGACAGCCCTGCGGACTATTGCATGGGCGTTGTTTGCAAAGGGGGAACATACGGACGGGCATACCATAGAGTTCCAACAAAACGCTAATAAATGAACTTAGCTTTGTCGTCTTGAATATTTTTTTTTTTTCTGACTGATCTTCCCCAAGTCAGATAGTTTTAACCTACACATTTAAGTTGCCAGAAAGCTTATTTAATTATCGCCTAAAAACGACCTTTACAATAATTCTGTGCACCTAATTCAACTGAAATTAAATATTTGATTTAAAAAACAAACATTTACCTTTATTTTTATACCGTCTGAATAAATTCATAAATTTTTGGTTTTTCTGGTTCTGGTTTTCCACTTCAATTTCATTGATCTAAATCGAAAGGCGAACATTTTCAGGAATTGAGTGAATTTATTGAACTAAAATCCAGTTCTTAGAAAAATATGTTTTTTTAGAAGGTTGACTAATTGATACAAATTTTATGAAATCGAATCTCATAATAGTACTAATTAAAATTTCAATAATTGCAAAATTAGTTTATTTTCCATTTCTTTTATAGGTATTTTTATAATTGGTTGTACCTGCAAATGTTCTCATTGTTAATTTTCCATTTCTTTCAAGTTTTTCGAGTATTTTTCGTCAATCAAGTTATTAAAAGAGTACTTTTAATAACATTTTCCGATGGTCGTTCCTACAAAAGTTGTTTGCCATGTAAAGGGAATTTTTTTTGGAAACTCTTTTGGGTAGTTTTTTTCCATTTTCCCACTTAACTCCCTTTTACAAATAATACAATATTGGCATGAAAAACATAAACATATATTTTAGCTAATGTTAGCAACAAAAAATTGTTCCTCCCCCCAAATGAGATCCTGCCTACGCCTCTGCACGGTTGTACTGTCCTTTGTGTTAATGATTTTTTAAATGCCATGTTACAGAATAACGACGAAAATGTCGTTTTAAAGTATAAAACTTTTCATTTTTCATCATATTTCCACATATCCCTCTTGCATGTGCGAAGACCGGAAATAATTTTCTAGTTGTGCCGCACACCCACCCCAAAAAAATAAAACGTCCTTCCACTTGCAGCCCACGATGATGGTTGTCTGTCAATTTGTGTGTGTCGGTCTGTATTTTTTATATTGTATTAATGATATCGCCCGCGACACAAGGCCAGGTGTTCAATAAACTGTCTGCTGATAACTACTCGGGTATAATTTAGTTATAAATTGCTCCTTTGGCCTCAGCAATTGAACTGCAAATGGGGTGAAATGTTTGTTATATATAGTAATACATATATTTGTTGTTTTTTCATAATTTATTTGATTTTAAACTAAACCACTAAGTATAGTCATAACATTTAGATATTAGCGAACTTAGAGCAATTAAATACCACAGAACATGTTTTATTTTAAATATTTTCGAATTGGATATACTCGTATTATGCATAGGATGTGTAGGAGACTAGCAGGAGTTGACTAGTTAGAGTTGCTTTGGAGCGTTGGAGGTTCGCCTCCTAGAGACCAGTGCTAAAGATACTTGGAGTGGCGCTCACATCGCTCATCTCGCCACTGCCATTATAATCCTCGCTGCTGTGGCTGCTGTTCTGGCTCTGATTGGAGTTATTGAACAGCGGCTGCTGCGCTGGTTGCACGGTTTGCGGCGGCGGGGCACGCGGATCTTCCGGAGTCCAAGTGCGTGCGTATAGCTTGCTGCCAGGATAACGATCCCCCTTGCGATACCAGGACAGGGAATGGGCAATACCGCCGGCTAAAAGAAAGAAAATGTCGCACTTATTTAGTAAGCCATTTTTTACACGATTTTGAAATAAAAATTTCCTATTTTATGCACCTAATTCTGTTTTTACACGGTAGATTGATTCCAGAAACCACCGTGTAAAAAAAGAAATATATGCGGAAATAGGTGATTGGTTCCTTATCTCAAACCGTGTTAACACAGGTGTTCTAACTATACGCTTAGATACTATGATTTGCGAAAAAATGCAGGCACATTTCCTCTTACTATGAGAACTATTAGTTCTTAGAAGATGATTCTATAATTCTTGGGAAATTTATAGAAATTCATTTGTAGTTCTCAGAGAGAAAACCCTGATATTACATTCCAATTTTTTGAAGCGTTTCAAGAGTCTCTTTAGCAGAGCGATTTTTCTATTTTAAGGAAAATGATTAACTGATGATAACTTTATTATCGAAATCTTTCTCCAGTAGCTATTGAACTTGAAGATCTGCTAGCGAAGTTCCCTGAAGTTCATGTTCTTCAGTCTGTTCATTCGTGTGACTGTTTGAACGCATAGATTCTCGAAAAGTTTACGAGGTAACAGACATAATTTTCTTATTATCGAAATTTATAGAAAACTTAACCCATTTTCAACGCTGTGCAACAAACGTCAATCTAATTGTTTGCACTTTCCCAAAAGTCAAGTAACGCCCCGACAATTAAAATTGTTGCCAAAAGTGAGCAAATGCCATTAACGGAGACATCATTACAAGCCCATCAGGAATTTTGTGCAAACAAGCAAAGGGTTTGAAAAAGGAAATGTTATTGCAGCTGCCGCCGCCTGCTTGGCCCGCCATTTGCGTTGAACAAACAAGAGAGCTGAGGTTCAGAGCGCCAGAGCCAACCCTCTGATGCTGCTGCTTTGCACTTTTTTTTTCGTCCAATCAGCTTGCGCAGGAGATAATAAAGGGTATCCGTCCACTGTCAACCCCGGCAGCAACACCCATAACCTCCCCACAACCCCCCTCCCCGCCGACCAACAGCAATTTGTAACGCACGCAATTTTCAAGTGTCTCATGCGGGTGTTGCTCAAATATGCAGCTCCCAACCCTCCTCCCCACATGGAATCCACTTGAACAACCAAACCCACAACTGTTGGGCTAATTTTTTTCACATACACTGAGACAAAATTCAGAAAATGTCCAGCAGCACTTTAGAGACGGTTTCTTTCCTGAAACAAGAGCATTTGCTTTAAAATTTCAGGTGAACTTTGAAAACATATTTTTTAAAGCTGGCCAAATGGCAAATGAAATTCCCCCAATGTGTCGGAGGCATTAGTAGACGTTATTGTATAGTTTTTTCTTAGGCTTTCTTATCTTTTAAGTTGAAATATCTTTATTTTATTTTATAATATTATAATATAATATAAATCATAGTTTTTATAAAATAAAATAAATAAAATTGGATAATATTTTGCAAAAGTAAGAAAGTCTGCTTTAAACTACAACTTTACATTTAAGTGAACTCTCAACTGGTGCTCGCAACTAAGGCCTTTAAATTTTCAATTTTTGTATAATAATTTATAACAAAAGCTTCTAATTGATGAAAATTATTTCTTAATAAAAAAAAAACAAATTGTATACAAATTCATAATTATAGAATTTTTAAAGGGCAGTGAAGGGAATTTTCTATTATAGAATTTTCTATTTTGTTTTATTTAGAAAATGCATTTCTCTAAGTGTACAAGAGCACCATTGCCCTGAGGCGGCATCCCTCCTCTACACAGCCTCTCCCATTCAACATAATCATCATCTTGCAAGTTGGTGTGAACATATGCCAGGCGTGTGCGCCCCTCCCCCTCCCCCAAGCAGTTAGTTGCACTCTTTTCAATGGCCGAGGGCGCGGAAAGGGGGAAAGGGGGCCTGGTCTCCCCAACAACAATTTGTTTCGTTTTCCATTTCTACTATTTTGCGATTTGTATCTATTTTGGCGTTTTCTCCTTTTTTCCTTGCTTCTACTGAACATTTTTAATGCCTGCGAAGCATGAAAATGCTTTTGCCATCGTTTGGCCATAGTTTGGCCTTTAACATGGTTCGCTTGTTGTTGTTGTTGTAGTTGTTGCTATCTTTGTTATTGTTGTTGTTGTTGTCGACGACGACAGCCAACATCTGCTGAAGTGTAACGAATTTCTCACGCTATGATTATGTCGATTTTGCTCGATTGTTGCTACTGCTATTGTTTTTGTTTTTATTGTTCCATATATATGTATGTACATGTGTCTATATGTATGTATGTGTGTGTGTGTGTGTAGTGTTCCTGTTTGTCGGCGCCTGGGTGGGTGTTTTTTTTTCCCCCTTGTCGAATATAGTATGTGGTTAGGAGTGCAAGGTGTTTGCCTGCCATGTTGGATATTTATAATAACAAATTATATCGCTTGCGCTTTTGTCAGTCGGAAAATTTACATGCGACTACATACATATATGGGTAGAGGAAACATTTTAAAATTAATTACTGAGCACGACAGGCTTTTTGGGGCGTTTATTTGAAAAAGTTGTATGCTCCTCTCCCCTATATGCTCATCATTGTCGCATTAAGATGAGCCGCAGCAAAAGTTCAAATGAACATATTATTCTATATATTAGAAAGTTATAATACAATATAAATATAATAATACTGATTCTTTAACTTCCTCTAAAAAAAAAATTAATTAAAATAAAATCAACATTCGAAAATAGTCGTGTGTTACGAACTTATTATTTGAGAACGATACATTTTTGTTTAATGCCAAATTTATTTATTCACTGCTTTTTCGAGATCCAGAAAATAGGAATATGTGCAATAATGGCATTGCGGTAGTCCCAGGGGGAAATCAGATTTTGGTTCCAGAGAATACTAATTTATTTTAAAATTTTCTAATATAAATTCACTGGCGACAACGCATTTCCCAATTCGATATAGCAACTCGTTGAGTTTTATTTATTTTTGTAACAATTAATAATAATTGATTATATTTACGCATTCTTAGTTAAAATACCAATACTTTAAGCTCATTTAAGGCTACCTAAGGCTCTTTTCAATACTCAGTTTCTGGCTCAATAAAAATTAACGGCAATCCTATATTAGAAAATAGTTTTCTGCCTCAAGATTTAAAAAATGTTAGCAATGGCATGAATTACATTTTGTTTTTATTATTATTGTAGTTCACTCCTAAATTTCAAACTTGTACAGAAAAAAAGAAAGAAATCCACTGATTAACATACACTGATAGGGCTTTATTTTCAGATTTTAAATTGTGAAAGCATAGCCCTCAATTAATGGAAAACATAGACGAGCTCCATTATTTGTGAAGGGACAGTGTTCTAGGAGCTATAAGGGGAAGGAAACTGTTTCTGAAGATACTGCTAGAACCAATTGTTTTTGTAGCAATTTAATGCATACTTTATTAGATTTTATCAAGCTTAAGAAGTTTTTTGATTTCCCATTGGCTTGTGTATTCTAATATGTTAAAGTTTTGCTGCTGTAAATGATTTTACAATCAATTCAAAACAATTATATATAAGTCATAGAACTTTCTTTACAAAACTTTCGCGTTTAAAATGAAGAGGAAATGTGTAACACATTTGAAAGAAACACCGAACCATTACCAATCCAAACAAATATGTATAATTTATCATACCCATTGGATACTTACTATATAGCAAAATTTCTAGAAATGCTTTTTGCATTTTGAAGAGAGACGAGCAGTTATTCTGTTTAAATTGTTTTATAAGCCCAAAATGGCAATTAAACATTGAATTTAAACATTATGAGCCCCACATTAGATTTCCTTTCTTTGTGTTTCTAATTTGATTTTCAGTACCAAGCTCTACATTTCTATTAAAGGAAGCATATCTAATACCTTTGTCATCGTGAGGTTCTAAAACAATGGTACTATAAGTCGTATAGCTCTACCATGCCATGACTTATAGTCGCCATGTCATGTTGAAAATAAATATCAACTTAATTAATTGAAAAAAAAACTCTTCCCAACGATGATATTCATATTCAGCAGGGACTATAAATTGTATTCACTCTTAGAACTCGACTCATTCTAACCAGTATTTATTTCTGTTTTGACATAGTTTGGCGGTCGGAAAAAAAACCCGCACCCAAAAGAGTAGGAAAACCAATTTTTTGTATATTCCTGCTCGCTTCGAAAACACTCTTGAAAACCCTCTCCTCCCGGCCACCCCTTGCCCAACCAACCCAACCAAGTGGCATGAATGGCTATTAGCTATGCAGATGCTGTGCGAGTATAGAGTATTCGGAAACCCGTTGCTGTCATACATTTTGAATAGAAAAATTATTAACCAAGAAACCGTAACTAAAGCTACTTTTATGAGCGGACTGGCTGGCTGGCTTATTTAAAACCCTAAATTGCATTGCGGTGCGGCTCTCTCACCCCGAAACCCAAGCTTCGAGCTCATGAGGACCATTTGGCCCTTTGCGCCAATGAACCGCACCGTGATCGATGCGACTGGAATGGGAAAAACAATTTAGTTTGGCAGTCACAGTCACGCAAACGCGGAGGAAAAGTGTGAAAATTCTAATTAGTTACGCAGAGATACAGCAGCGAGACTCAGACAGACTCGGATCAACCCTCCTAGATCTGAACCTTCCCGATGCTGCTGATGACCTTTGAATATGCAACCAACCAACTACACAAACGAATTATGTTATTAAATGTATAGCGATTGGACCAACCCACACATTGGCACTGTCTATGGTTTGATGGATTGTCAACTCACTGCGATCCTTTAGAATAATCTTTTTGGGAGGTTCCTTTTGATAGTTGCGCTGCAGACTCAGTCCGGGCTCGTTGCCATTCTTATCCTTCTTAACCATATCGCTCAGAAAGGTTATATAACTAATCGCCAGCTTCAGGGTATCCACCTTGCTGAGTCGCTTCTCATAGGGTAGCGTTGGAATGTGCGATCGTAGTCCCTCGAAGGCTTCATTTATGCTCTGCATCCGTCGTCTCTCCCGAAGATTGGCCGCCTGACGCTGCTGGGCCATCTGGGAGGCGCATTTCAACTTCAAGCGGCGTGGCTTGTGACTGCGTCTGTAAGACATAACAACAGGCCCATATTAGACTTTTAAGCCCCATATCTAGCTTTAAAATAGTGGAATGAGCGAAGCAATTAAAAAATGGTTTAAAAAATAATATTAAACGGACAATGGACAGTTAAAATTAAATTTGTTTTTATAATTTTCTTGGATTTCAGAATTATATTTATACACCCAAAACTATCCAAAAGGAAACTGTATTTGAATCACTTTCTTGAGTTTCAGAATAATAATATACACCTGAAACTATCTAAAATTAAATCGTTAAGGGATCCCGAATACACATCTTTAAAGAATTTATAGAAATGTGAAATATTTTTGCCGATTATTTAGATATCTTTGAACACATAATAATATACTCAAAATTGGATTGATCTGTTATGGAATTGAGTTCAAATCGATGGGAGTTGAAGCAATGAGCATATATGAAGAGAAATGAATAATATTATAGTCCTAATCTAAATCACGAAAATTAAAACGAAATATCATATACTATCTGCCATAGAAATATTGTGTAGTATGAACGAAACAGAATTAAATAGATAAATAAATTATAATTTATTTATTTTATTTTACTTACGTCTTCTCATTATTTTCCTGATCGCTGTTAAAGCCACTGCTATAGGCATCATCGTCGTCATCGCTCTCCGAGCTGTGCTCGTCGCCGAAAAAGAACTCCGAACCGGAGCTCGAACCATTAGTTGCTTGAGATCCTTCGAAGAAATGCCGCGCCATGGTGGCCTCCAAATCAAAATTATCCATGGAGAACATTTTCTTCAGATTGTTTATATTTTTTTGTTTGTATTCCTAATTGTGCGCTAAGTGGGCGCTTAAGGACATTGCTCTAAGCACATAAACAAGTCCGCGTGTCGGTCACGTGCGGGCGTGAGAAAAATTGACTCGCAACGGGGGAAAGCGGGCGGCGGAACGTGCTGCCAATTTTGAATTCAGATCAACTGCCTATATCTGCAAAGCAATATGGTAAATTAAGGCTTTTGTAGTTACACATCAGTAAACATTTATGTCATCAACTCTTTGTGTTGAGTACACTTGTCCATTTCAGTGAATTGATAATAAACGTGTTTAACATGTAAATGATAAGATAAATATTACGAGAACTGCCTTAGGCAGATAAATACCTACAGATAGTATTTCAATAATGTGAATAGTTAGGGGTTTCAGGTTTCAAGGTTTCAGGCAAGGCGATGCCCTCTCGTGCTATCTCTTCAACTTCCTGCTGGAGAGTGTGGTGCGCAAAGCTGGTGTACACCGAGGCGGAACGATCTTTTTTAAAAGCGTTCAGCTTCTTGCGTACGCTGATGATATAGACATTATCAGCCGTACCAGGAGAGGCGTCACCGGAGCATTTGCGGCTATTGAGAAGGAAGCTGCAAAAGTGGGTTTGGTGATAAATGAGAGCAAAACTAAGTATATGTTTTCCTCTAGCAGGGACACGCGGCAACCAGACTCCCAGATCGCGGTGGAAAACTATACTTTCGAAATGGTGAAAGATTTTATGTATCTTGGCACCACCGTCACAGCAACCAACGATGTCAGCCTAGAAATCAAATGGAGATTAACTCTAGCCAATCGATGCTACTTCAGCCTCAGTAGGCAATTGAGTAGCAGAGACCTTTCCCGAAAAACCAAGCTAACGCTCTACAAGACGCTCATCCTCCCCGTGCTGCTTTATGGTGCAGAAGCATGGGTGATATCGCAGACTGATGCAGCAGCTCTTGCAGTGTCTGAGAGAAAGATGCTTCGGAAGATCTTCGGTCCCATACGCGTTGGCGACGACTACCGCATACGATGGAACAGCGAACTGTACGAGCTCTACGCTGACATTGACATAGTCAAGCGAATAAACATCCAGCGGCTAAGCTGGCTAGGTCATGTCGTGCGTATGGAAGAAGACGCTCCAGCGAAAAAAGTTCTCGATGCGGATGTTGGGGGGAGACGACGACGGGGGAGGCCTTGCCTACGTTGGAAGGACCAGGTAGAGAACGCACTTACTACCTGCGGAGTGACCAACTGGAAGCGACGCGCGCGAAGCAGAGGCGCGTGGAGAGCTGTGTTACGTCAGGTCATAGCCCGATAACGGGTTTGAAGACCAGTCAAGAAGAAGAAGAATAGTTAGGGGTTGCATTTAGAAGCCACATTCAAAATGAAGTAGTACTGATATGGGATTCGTGCAGCTTTAATATTTGAAGTTATCGAATTGCTTTATACTTGTATACATACGAAAAAAAAAAAAAAATATGTATTTATAAATTATTAGTACGTCAACAAATATGCCTATATAAATATATAGTACCATTATTAACTTTTTTTACAATTTATTTAAGACAATAAGTAAATCTAGGTAGCTTTCTTTAAAATAAACAGGAATAGAGAGTTTCCAGTGAAACCAACTATTATTTTTTTTACTTATTTTCTATGTCAGGCTGATACTTTTTTATTATAATTTAAGCTTAAAAACTGGAATACCCTCAACAATAATTTAACATTCGTATAATAAAATATATTTAATAATTGTGTAACATTTGGCTTTAAATCATGCATTTCATTTTATATTTTTTTATTTTATTATTGTACGTTTTACAGCATCCCTAACGATATGCCTTTTACAAATGTTGATGCTTCAGAAGAGTATTAATAACGTTAACAATTAGTCGGGAAACATTTTGGCGAACAAATTCATCATTAATTATCTATTTTTGATGTTATTAATATTTTTGTTTATCCTTCGAATTTTTGTTCGTTACTCCTAAAACTGCACAAGGAGTCAAAATTGTAATTTAAAATTATTATACATTTGATTTTTGTTTAATCAGAAGCAGTAGGTTTTGAGTTTTGTTTCACTATCGAACAGTTGTTAGCACCCTATTTATATACATATAAAAGGAAGTATTTATGTATATATGTTCCGTATAGACTCCGAAACCGCTCAAGCGATGTTGATCAAATTTTGTGGCAATATTCAAAATAGTCTCGTGGGTAAACCTGTGAAGTTTCGTGGCGATTCGTCAACGCCATCAACCATCGTTTTCTGGCTTATTTCTGCTCATTTTAAAATGTTTGAGAATCAGTTTTTACTCTGATTCAGTGTTTTATTCGCAAATAAATAAAATTATAAAATCGAATTCAAAAAAATGCAGCTGAAAATACCGATGAACGCGAATAACGATTGCAAGATCTTTGCGAAAGGGCATTAAATATTTATTTACATTTTTTATTTTTATTATTATATTTTGATTGAAAGTTGGTATAAAATATTTTTAAATTTATTTAATTAAAATCTTTTCTAAAAGAATTTATTTTTGACATAATCATAAATAATTTCTTTAGCTTACCCTTTGTTCTGTGCTATACTATATGCTGAATAATCCTTTGAAAACTGTTGACTAAGTAACTGCTGCTTCCGCTCTATATAGAACTTTGTCTTGCACTAAAATTTTGAATCATTCTCGAAAGGTACATCGATCAAATAAAACACCAGATCTTTCAACACACAAGCGACACGCGTTAATGACACCTCTCTGAACCCTCAAACAGAGTCTAGCCCGATATTTGCCGTTGGAACTCTGACCGCCCGTGCAGAGGTTATCGGACATGGAAGCGCGTTTCGTAACGAACGCGCGAACTGCCGCAAAGCGAATGGGCTGCAGAATAGTCAGGACTCTGGCCCCGATAAGAGCTTGTCATGCCTCTAGTGAGGGGTTGCAGTCAAATAATGTCGTGTATATGTATGTGTGTGTGTGTGTGTGTGTCTGGTGGCGGTGCGACATCAAAAGGTACAGCCAAATGGGCGGAGCCTGCGTTTGAGCCAATCAGAAAGCACGAAAATTGTGCTTTCCCAAATGGGAGGTGGGTGTGTGGGGAAGGAGCAGGATTGGGAGGGAGGGGGTGGCTGTCTGCTTCTATAAGCTTATTAAGTTGAACAATTTGGGGTGCAATACGCACTGTACGTATGGGCTCGTTTTATTTGCTTTCTTTCATCCATTTCCATTCAATTGTAGACAAACACTAAACTGTTTTTTGATTTTGTGCGCGTTTATCTGTTTAAGCGGAATTATTGCCCAAGTGGGTGGTTGCAAGGTGGTGCTCTTGAAAGCGTAGCGTGTGTTGTTGCAGGTGTTCCTAAGCTGCAGTTGTGCTGGAATTTGATTCGTAATTCCACAAAAAACTTGCGCATAATTCCCATTTCTACATTTCACAGTCTCGAGCTCCCATTTCATTGCCTCTGCTCCTCGTGTCATCAAGAGTATTAATCCACAACTTGTCCACAACTGCTGAGCCTAATTAATGATTTGTTGCGTCTGACAAAGACCTCAACATTTGCAGAAACAACAGCCAGCACTTATTTTCACACTCTTTTGCGTTTTCTGTGATATTCGAAAAATTTGTCAACCAGCATAATTTTTAAGCATTAGCGACAAACGTCGCCGGAAAATGTCGCCGAATGCAAATATTTGCATTGTCTAGGATATCCTAAAATCAACATTAAAAAACAGTTTTTCCTGTAATACGAAAACATAGACGATATCTAAATACTCTATAAATACTGTTCTCTAAAAAAAGGGTATGTTAGAATCGATTAGAGTATAACGTTGGTTCGCCTTTCTAGTTTTTAGTCGAGCATATAGGATTGCCATTTTTCTTGTAAACAAATCTTTTTGAGCGTCTCCAAGCATGCTCCAACTAATCTATCCATATTTATTTATTTATTTTTAAATTCCATAAAATAGTTTTTGTATTTATTTTTCAAATCCCTAAATACTATTAGTTAAATACTATCAATTTTAAAGAAAATAATATTAACAATAAATATTGTTCATTAAATATACTCATGTAAATAAAATAAATTTATACTGCTCGAAATACTTTTTAATTTCCATGCAGAAATCCCAAAATTGTTTTAAGAAATGCAAATTACAACAATTTACATAATTGAAAACAATATTTAAAAAAAAGAAAAAGAATTGAACTTGGGTTTGTTTGCCGGTTTTCTATATATTACTCGAAATCAGAGAAAAATTGGAAGTTCTTTTGGCAAAATCAAATTGCAGGTTGGAATACATTTTAAATTTCTAATAAAGAATATCAAAACTGATTCTGAATCCTAAAATCAACCCTGTTATTATTACTAATATCAAAGTCAGTTCCCTTATTAAACCTTTAAAGAAAATTGTGTATATTACAGTTACTTATTTCGTTTCAAACGTTGGAGCGATATTCTTGAGAATATCCCTCTTGAAACTGAAAATACAGGCTATGACTTAACAGTGTAGAAATTAAAACAAAATATGAATAGTTTAAAATATCAGAAGTTTGCAAAGAACATTATTATTAAACCATTCTTCGTCTTACTTACAACAAGCTAGTGGAGAACCCAATACATTTTTAAGTGCGAAAATTCTCCATTCTGCAGCTCAGCAACTCCATTGATGAACTCATAGTACCCATTTGTAAAGGGTATAATAACAATAGCAGCAACAACTCACTTAAAATGCGTCTGCAATATTTACTGCATATTTCTCGGCGCAGACAGGGGTGTCAAAATATTCAACCCCTACCCTTGATGAGCAACTGAGTGCCTCGGGAGGAGGGGGGAAGAGCGGAGGGCTGAGGCGCATCAACGGTTTGTTTGTTGTCCTTTTTCCTGTGCTGTCCGTTTGCCAGTCTGTCTGTGGATCACCAAACGTTGGTTGGTAGTGCCGACGACTAGGGCTAGAATGATAAACAAATTGCTGTTTTCAGTTGTTATCGTTGTTGTTGTTCTTGTTGTTGTTGCTTTTCCTCATGCAGCTGTATAAACAAATTAGTTTTTCAATTTTACAAAGTTCTTACCGTCTCGGTAGAAAAATGAGAGACCATTGGATGGCGGTCTAGGGTTGTTGTTGGTTATTTTAGTTGCTAATTTGTTAATAATATTATGATGTGCTGATTACAATGTTGTGATTTCCAGTAAAATATTTGAAGAAAATTTATAGATTATTAGTTTTATTTATGAAAGGTTACTGAACCTCAACCTTTTGAATTACTCGTAAACCAAAGCAACCTTTTGCCACCAATAATAGACTCATGTTTATCAGGTCTAAGAAGGTTCAATTTTTTCTGTATTTATTTAACACAAGTACCAAATTTATTTAAAAATCGATTACATTTATTTTAAGGCCATTAAAACGACAAATTTTCCTTTTTCCCTTAAAACGTATCAAACTTATATGCAGCCTATTAATTTATAACAAAAAGTATGAAATTAAAGCCAAAAAAAATGAACATACATATGTCCACAAAATCATCTAAAGATATAGAAAATATATTGATCTCTTTGTTCAGTAAGTATGTATATTGTTTAGTAAGTAAACAGAAGTTTATCAAATGCTAGAACTTTGTTCAATGTAACATTACCTTTAAATGCCTAACCAATTACTCATGATTTGCGCACTGTTCCTTCCTAAGACATCCACGAAAAGTACACTTTTTCCTTATCAGCAGCTGTTCAGTTATATTAGAGCTATCTATCTGCAAAGTTTGGCAGCATTTATTCCTGAGGTTTCGAAGATATAAAGGATCATACAGACAAACACGGACCAAACGAATAATATAAATGTTAAAAAAATGATCATTAGCACTATTAACAGGTACAGACAAATTTTAAATTGTTTTCAATATACACCTGCTTAGCTTTTGTTCTTAACTAATACTTCCCACACTTTCCATATCCATAACACACACTTAAAGACCTCGTCTATATAATTAAAGCCACCCCTCTGCAGAGGCAAGCCAGGCTTATAACTAGAAACTATTTTGTGGTACCTACCTCCATATGCACTCGTAGGTATGTAAAAATTATGCACACGTCATATAACACAATCAAGCGTAACCGCCTCTCCGCGCACCCTGCCTGCCGGGCTATACCGGGCTATAACGATATCATTACACGCAATTGCCTCGCGAAGGGTTGGGATCTGTGTTGTCCTTTTGTGCTAACTGCCAAACGATTTTTAATATTTTTTTCTCTTTTCGAATTCTAATTAAAAACCCAAACTGCATTGTTGAGGTACGAGCAGACAATAAAACTATAGCACGACTCTGTGCAATGCTTATCACACTAACTGATCCCTCCCAATCCCAATGGCAATCCCAAAACCCAGCCCTTCATTGGGTTGTGTTGACATTGAGCATTAAACTGAAGAAATCCTCTTGAGTGGCATGCCTGGGCGAGCACTAGAGTTATAGAATGTGTGTGTGTAAATTTTAATCTCATTTCAAAAGTTTTTGGAGGCTTTAAAAAGTGCAGAATTTGAAAACTGAGGGTTGAGGGCCCTGCAACCACAGGTTGGTCTAGAAAATGCAGGATTATGGAAGGGTTGCCCACATTACAATTTTTAATTCAATTTCATTTTTATTCGCAAACTAAGCTTTATAAAAATAATTTTTGGTTTCTGAAGTGGTTTATGGGGTCCTTTCCTTTACAACCTTCTAGCTGCGAAGCGTAAGTTTTCGTGCTCCGGATCCACAATATTGCCATCGGCATCAAGTCCCGATACGGCTGCAATATTTACGCACATGCACTTCAATTTGGATCCCAGTTTTTCCGCATATAACGAAGTTAGGATACCCATCACTAGCTCCGGTCGTTCCTCCCGAATCTCCACTGACAGTGGCGCCATCTGTTGTGGGGTTAGTTCGCCCCTAGCCATCGCTTGGGCGAACTGCATCACATAACAGCAGATGCTGTAGCCGAGACCGCGATTGCACCAATCTGGATGAATGGCCAAGAACTCGACTTCAAAGGCACAGTCCACCTGCCACTCTTTGAAAATATCGAAGCCGTCCTCCAAACGCAGCACATTCTCGATTATTGTGAGCATTGGCTGGGACTTAAAGCTCTCAACCACGGTTTGCAATGAAATGTTTTTCTTTACGTTCTGCAATAAAAGTGTGGGAATTACTTGTACATGTGTTTTAATATTATATCATAGGTACTTAAAGATATTCTTTAAAAAAAAAAAATAACAAATCAGTGAGAAACCTTTACTTTGGCAAAATAATTTCCACTTTCTAAAGTTATAACCATTATAAACAATTTTTGTTAAACTATTTATGCAAGAATTTCTATATTTAAAGCAAATTTGTCGATATAACCTAAAAAAATCTATTAATCTTCTATACTGTTTTTAAAAAACTGGCCCCTTCAAATAATTATTGTCTTTATTGATTGTCAAATGTTCAGAATCAGAAATTTCTGTTCTACGGTCAGACAGTGAAATAATTTGCCCACAAATTCGTCCAATTTTATAAATAAATCAAGAAAATAAAGTTCATAATTGTATTTTAGCTTTACGCAAGGATACTTGTATAAAAATTATATACATTTTAAAAATCATGAAATGCTCACATCTTCATATTTCTTGAATGTGTCCCATATATTTTAATAGTAAAATTTTGAAAATATGATAAAATGTTGTACGAATTAAATTTTAAATACTTCTGATCGAACAACATTATTATATTATGTAGAAATTTTAAGAATTTCTGAGATGGTTGCCTTCTCTACAACCTCTTGGCTGCAAACTGCGAATTGACATGCTGGGAATCGATGAATTGGGTAAAGGTGTTGTTCTCAAAACTAATTTCCGATATGGGAACAACATTTATGGATACAAAGTTTAGTTTAGCAACCATTTTCTGTGTATAGAATGAAGTGAAGAGCCCCATGGCCACCTGTGGCTGTTCCTCTCGTATTTGCTTCGACACATGGGCCATCTGATCCGGTCTCAGTTCGCCCTTGGCCATCGCATGGGCAAAATCCAATGCATGGGATAAGATACTGAAGCCCAGACCACGTTTACCCCAAGCTGGATGGACGGCGAGAAACTCTATTTCGAAAGCAGACTCCACCTGCCACTCTTTGAAAATATCGTAACCATTCTCCAAAAGCTCAAAATACGCATCTATAGCGAGCATTTCTGGTGATTTTAAATTCTTTAACGCTTCGTCCAAAGTAATGTTCTTCTTGTTGTTCTGATACGATAAATAAAAAATAGTTTATGGGTTATTGCCTTGAAAGTTGGAATTCAATGTAGTCGAGGAATTGTGGAAAAAAATTAGGAAAAATAGGATATAATAAGAGAAAAAGTTGTTGATACTGATAATCGGTTTTAGTTTCAAAATGTAAAAATATAAATATATGTATATTATTCTAAACTACTTTTATAGAAAGATATATACCATATGCAACTCAAAACAATTTATAAATATTTTCAAAGAATAATTTGGCAATATTTGGCATCCACGCAGTTATTAGATACTAAGATCGAAGTGTTCATACAGACGAACAGATAGACTATTGTGACTAAACTGACTTAGCTTTGCAAGCTAATTAATATGTATATGTATATATATTTATATACCTATACTTACGATAATTTTGTTACAACAAATGCCCACCAATTGGTCAGTGGCCCTATGTCGGGCTGCAAAGGAGATGCCATCATTGAGCACGGCGAGCATTAGTTTCCTGAGCTCTTCCATAGCCTCTGGCGCCTCCTTTAAATTGGTGCATAGGCACATGTTCCCAAAATTTGGAAACACATACATAAAAAGCTGTATAGGGGAAATGAAAAGTAAAAAAATAAAACACTTGGGTCGGTCACGGCAATTTGTGATATGTGACGCTTGAAAGCAACTCTATTAGCGTGATTCAAGCTAGACGTATGACTCATGCTTTAGGCACAGTGACGACTTTCCAGCTGCACTTTCCTAAGACTCACCTCTTCGCTTTCTTCATACAAATCGGGCGTTATGCACATTATTTCGAATTCCTCTGCAAGAGAAAATGTAATGTTGGTTGTATTTGAGTCGAAATATGTTTGGAAAGTGGTTGGAATATGACTGAATTATAGCTGGAATAAAGATCATATGTAGATGGAATGTTACTGAAATGTAGCCGAAATATATCTAGGTTGAAAAGTGACTGGAAAGTGTGTGGATTCTGGCTAGAATGTGGTTATCAAGTGTAGTTAAAAAATGGTTGAATTCAGGCTGGAAAGGAGATGGACTCTTTCTGGAAAGTATTGGGTATATAGCTGGAATGTTATTGGAATGAAAATGGGCTGTCGTTGAAAATTCAATTAAATATATTTGGAAAATAGTTGGAATGGAAATGGAACGGGCTGGAAAACATAAAAAAAATGTCTGGAATGTGACTAAAATGGAGATGAACTGTGGCTGGAATCTGGAATATCTGGAAAATGGGTGGTTTGTGTCTCGGATATTCTTGTGAGTTTGTGAATTACACGTTAAATGTCTTACCACCGTCGATCGTAAGCAGCTCAACCATTTTAAACACCGACTTTAACGCTTGCACGCTCGTACACTGCCAATATTGGCATTAAACTGGCAATTATATTGTTCAAACGAAAACGGAAGGCAACTTAGTAAGCTGGTAACAAAAAGTTTGCAAAAGCATTAAATTTGTTTTAATCTTTTTTGAAGCGTGAATCACTTTTTAGTAGACGATTGTGTTAGAACGAAAAGGTTGCATAGGAGTTTGGAGTAATGACAATGTTTATTTCAATAAAATGGAACGAGATTTATAAAATTAAAAATTCAATTTTAAAATATTAAAAATCATATTAAAACTTTGAGCCTTCTAGGCTATATTTTTCACCAACGACTACAAATTTTTTTTATTGTCTTGAATTCTGAAATGGTCTTCTTTACAAGTCATCTCCTCTACAACTTTTTGGCTGCATGTTGCGAATTGACGTGCTCCGGAGCGACGACTTCGGCAAAAGTTTTGCCTTCAAAACTAAATTCTGTCATGGGCACCACATTAACTGGAATAAAATTTAATTTGGCAGCCATTCTCTGTGTATAGAGCGATGTGAAGACACCCATTGACACGTCCGGTCGCTCCTTTCGTATATGATCGGGCATCTGTGCCATCTGTTCCGGGGTTAGTTCGCCCTTGGACATCGCCACAGCAAAGTCCAAGGCATAGGAGCACACGTTGAAGGCCAAACCACGTTTGGTCCAATCGGGATGGACGGCAAGGAACTCAATTTCGAAAGCAGACTCCACTTGCCACTGTTTGAAAACATCGAAATCGTTCTCCAAACGTACCAAATACGCATCTATGGTGAACATTTGCGGCGTTTTAAAGCTCTCGAAGACCTCGTCCAATGAAATATTCTTCTTGTGGTTCTGTTGAATGAAATTGAGATTCAATATTTACACAAATAGTTACATTCGTTTTGGAGCTCTACCTAAAAAGTATTGTTTTGTTTTAATCTTTTAAAACTAACTACTTTTCTAGGCAAATACTTTTCTAAAACTGATGCTTCCCATTCCAGCTATAAAGTAACTCTATTTGGTTCCAATTCAGGTATTATTGGAACACGTCAAAAATTTGGTTGGGAAGCAAGAAGTTATGTATTCTAAAAACGCCGATATGGCGGCTATAGCATATAGAGGTCCAATCTGTCGTGCCTCAGCGCGCTATAAATAAATTTGAGCCACTAGAATTTTACTATAAAACAGACCGACAGACGGACATGGCTATATCGATTCGTCTCGTATCTTTAACAGTAAGTCTGTCAGGCCTTTAATTTCGCTTCACAAACATCAAAACTTTACAAAATGAAACAAAACTAAGAAAAAACTAAAAAATTAAAAAACTACTACCTACAAATAGCCATTCACTAAAATCGAATAGTAAGAAATTATTAGCCCTACTTCCAAAACTTACTATAATTTTGTTGCAACAAATTGCCACTATCTTGCCAGTGGGCTTGTGTATAACCGCAAATGAGATTCCATCGGGAAGCACAGCATGGAGCAGTTGCCTTAACTCTTCGAGGGCCTCTGGGGATTCCTTCATATTGGTGGCCAGACACATGTTTTCATAATTTGGAAAGACGTGCATAAAAAGCTAAAAAAAAATTAAGGAAAAAGCTACACTACACACAAATAAAAAAATACATTTTTAAAAACATTAATCATAAATTTTACATTTTTTAAAAATAATTTGAACAATATTGATATTTTTCATTTTAATTTTTTTTGATAAAATTAAAGGACTGAAGAAAAATTTGATATTTTTTATACACAAATGAATGGGAAGGGAAATATAAATATATCTGTGCAATATGAATTATATGATGAATTATAAATTAATCATATTTTTGGACTACATTTGAACATTTTAACGGTTTTTTAAGTTTTAGAGAAACATTTTCTGAAAATTCGATGTCATTTTTAAAAATTATGTAAATAATTTTTTAATATGGTAGGTTATAGTTTAAGGGTGAATTTGAAAGAAAATTTTCCCTAAATATGGTCAAATTAAAAGTTAGAGCTGTCTCTTAGTCTAAGATATTTTGTCAAAGAATTCTAGAAAATAAAAATCTATTAATAAAGTTAGTGCCTTTTTTTAAGTTTGAATATTAATTTTTAAAGAATAATACATTATGATGTCCATGCGAAAATTTGCCAAAATTAAAATTCTGAGCTGTGTCTTACTCTAAGATATTTTGTCAAAGAATTATAGAAAATAAAAATCTATTAATAAAGATAGTGCCTTTTTTTAAGTTTGAATATTAATTTTTAAAGAATAATACATTTTGATGTCCATGCCAAAATGCACACCATCTTAAATTTTTATATTTTAAAAATATTGTAAAATCAGGAAAAATTCTTTCGGACTTCCCGCTTCAAAATTAATTTAAATTTTTTATAATTTTTTTCAAAGTTAGGAGTATTAGCAAATTTTTTGCCTGTCCTGCGTGTAGACTAAGGAAGGAATTCTAATAACTCAAAATTTTAGTATTGGGTAGAAGAGTTTTCAAATATAACGTACTTTCGTCACAGTTTGGTGCATAAATCATGTTTTTTTTTTCAAAATTGCATTTGGAAGGTTGGTTTATGATGGATTTTGATTTGATGCTCAAAAGCAACTGCATCGGGCACGTCTGCCACACACACTTTTGCGTGACTATGACTCGAATTATGGCGCGTGCATGTCGCTTAAAAGCGACCTTTCCAGTCGGATTTAATAATAATGCTAACATTTTCGCTATTACTCACCTCTTCCGTTTCTTCGTACATATCGGGCGATATGTTCCTTATTTCGAATTCCTCTGGCAGCGCATATGTAAATGAGTAAATAATTTGGAATTTGCATATTATTTTTTGAACAATATCAATTAGAATATAAACAATTGATTGGCACGTGTTCTCGCTATCTTTTACCTCCCTTGAGCGCAAACTGCTTTGCCATTTTATTTACTTTTCAATAGAAATTTGTAATAAAAACAAAAATGTACACACGTACACCGCCAATGTTGGCATAGAACTGAAAGGCAAATGTTCGAAACAATATACAAGTATATTCATATTTGTTCATGATGATAAAAGTCAGTAGCTGTCGCGTCATGAAGAAAATTTGCGAGAGCGTAAAAGTTTCTTAACTGAATGTAATTGAGATTTGTTGTGAAGCGTGAAGCAGCCAGCGTGTGTGAGCGTGCCACAACAGTTTGAAATGTGAGGCAGGCAGATACATCTATATAGCTAGTATATCTGTATGTGTATGTATGTACATATGTGTGGTTAAATTGATAACAAGCGGCATGGACACACACATATTATACATATGTATCTATGGAGTAATAATAATATTTTGTGAATGAGACGCTGCAGACTACAAGTGGCCTTTGACACTTGTGAGAAACAAACACACACACACACGAGTACATACAGTTTTATATACAAATACGCGTTGTACATGCTGTTTAATTTATATTAATTAGTGCATTGCGATTTTTACAACAATTGCCATTTGGCAAGTCAGTTGTAGAGGTAGAAAAATATTTCTCAAAATGTATTCACATAATAAACTTATATGTATGTATTTTTACCATTTATTCCATACTATTTTGAAAATGTCGTACTCTGACTAATTAATTTGTCACATTTTATTTGTTTTACGTTTTGCTCATATTTCGCTCATTTTTTTCATTTAAAATTCAATTATTCCGCCAAAAAAGTGTGACCCCTCCAACATATTAATTCAATTGTTGTCAGTATTTTGTAGTGCTGCCAAGTAAATGCTCTGCTATCGCTGATTTGCTAATTGGACGAGAGACAATTATTTCAAATTTAAGCACTTAAATTATATCCATTTAATACTTATTATTAAAATTTAATAATAAAAATGAACAAACTGAAATTAAAATTGCGAAAAAAAAAGAAAGAATAAATTATAATAAAAAAAAATATTAATACATAAGAAATAAATCATTAATCAATAAATTTTGTAAATAAAATTAATAAAAATATATATGTAATTAATTTTTTGCTACCACAGTCACATCGTAAATTGTTAACTGTATCTTAAACACAACTACCTAGAACCCCTTTCTTGGAACTCTAAACTGTACATTTACACCCCCCATACATGGCGTCGGTGGTGTAATGGTTAGCATAGTTGCCTTCCAAGCAGTTGACCCGGGTTCGATTCCCGGCCGACGCAGCCCTGCTTTTTTGCTGCTTTTACTTTTCGTTTATAATTTTATATAAATATTTATTGCAATAACAAAAATACATTGCTTATATAATAGCTATAATAATTAGGGCTAGGAAAATATTTTTTAAATTAATGTTTAAAGTAATTTGAAATAGTGTCTAAAATTCAAATTATTAGTTATTTATAAATTTATTATTTCTAATTGTTGTATGTTGATCGCAGACCTATCTTCTATTATAGGTATACTAGTATACCTAGTACCTAGTATACTTACAAAATGTACATAAACTGTAGAACTAATGTCGATCTGATCTGTAGAAAACATATTTCACGGACAAACGATCTATTTTATCCAAAAATGTCTAGATTATACAAATATTTCATTTATTTTTCTTTAAAAAAATAAATATAAATAAATTCATATTTTTCAGATTTAGAAATCCTTTTTATTGACAAAACATTTCTACTTATATTTTAGAACACTCTTAAAACACATTTAACATCCAATCTTAAAACAGTTCGCAATAGAATCATTTTCCAAGCTGCATTTAATTTTTTGATTTGTTCCTTTGTTTTTGGCATAAAGTACAAAGATATAGGGCCATAGCAATTAGTTATTGGGCCAAGTATATATGACATGTTCGCAAAATTTATGGAAAGGGCTGATGCGCTCATCAAAGCGCTTGCCATCAAATGTTAAGTCCTTGTAGGGAACCGTGTTCAGTACCTTAAAACCATTTCGCTTCCCTACTCTCTGCGAGAAACTGGAGGTCCAAAGCGCAGTCACGGCGGCGGGACGTTTGTCACGCAATTCGGGGGCGATATCCTCCAAACCTACCCCTTTAGACAATTCGCGAGTCAACTCGACGGTGTATTTGGCCAAAGTAGTGCCCAAGCCCAATCTCTCATAGGAGGGCAAGGTAGCCAAAAACATTAATTCGCACAAGCAATCCATCTTATACATGGCAAAGACATCGATCTTTTCATCAACTTCGATCATAAAATCCATTAATCGTTGCGCCTGAGGACTTTTGGTGCTCTCTTTGCGAAATTTGAGAAAGAAATGCTCCTCGCCGGCTGATGGGATGTACTGCAAAAAAAATAGAATATTATAAGAAACGTCGACTGTGTGAATGCTGTATTGTTTCACCTGGATTTTGTTGAAAGCTACAGCCACAATACGCCCAGTGGGCACATGACGCACCAACAAGGACACGCCATCTTGTGCTGTTATTTTGCAAAGCTCACGAAGCTCCTTACGCGCTTGAACATTCTCTGGCAAATTTATTTTACAAGCAATGCTCACCGATTCATTCAAGAAAAACGAGCCATCCAGCACCTAGAAACCGTTGGGAAAAAATAATGTGCTATATTACTTATCTGAAATAAAGATTAGACTTAATAAAAAAAAATTGAGCTGCGTCGGCCGGGAATCGAACCCGGGTCAACTGCTTGGAAGGCAACTATGCTAACCATTACACCACCGACGCCATGTTCAAAGCGTCGCCAAATTTCGATTTTCTGTTGCAAGAGCAGCTGACGTGCCAGCCATAATAAGCAACATGTGTATGCAAATTTGTTGCTTTTGGTTTTTTTTTTGCAATAGTGCAACACGTAAACAAAGTTATCACATACATATGCAGGTATGTTATTCATTTATTCAGCTGTTGTGCAGCGCTGCCAGACTGCGATATCAATACTTACATCTAACGCTGCTTCCAAATCCTCCAACGTTACGCTACGCACCTCGAATTGACCTAAAATATTTAATTAATAACTTTATGGTTTTTGTTCATAAATAATGTTAACACTTTCACTTTTCGTACCATCTCGCAAAGTTGCCCACAGTCGACCGTTCTTAGCACGCATATTTTTCAACAAATCTCACGCTTATCTTCAAAGGCAATAAAAACAGAAACAGCAACAGCCGAGCTCAACAAACGACAAACTGTGACTAACAATAGATTTTAGTTTAAATAGCTGATTTTTTGTGTGATAGCGTGTCGGCTCTTTAACGCACGCCGTAAAAGTAGCACCAACTTGTCGTGCTGCTAACTGCCGGCTTTTGTGATAATAGCCATTGAGTTGAATAAACTATTGTACAAATTGGTTATTTGATTAACTGGTGTTCTAAAGCAGAGTACTAAATTGCCATTAATTAAGTCATCATATCGCTTCATTATTTGACAAAATAGTTACCTCAAATTTGCGACATTGCTGTAAATCTCTTATATCGCCCGCTAAACATTTTCTCCATCAAGAACCGGTTAACTATGATCAATTTGCTTAAAGCATTTGTCTCTCCTCTCTAGGTTTCACCATATACTTAGACTGCCTTATCTTTTGAAGGCGCTTCTGCTCCTTCAGTCTTTTAAGCCATGTATATTCAGTATAGTATATTTTACATTAAATTATTTTTAGTTTCTTTTTTATACCGGTAACTGAAAGGGCTTTTGTTGCAATGCAGAACGTTAATAGGTATATAAAGATACACAACGAAACAAATACGTTGTATATTATTTTATTTATTTAACGAAATATATATTTTGTTGTTTCATAGCTGCCCCGGAAACCAGAACAGCAAGCAATATCGATTTAAAATGAGTAAACAGACCTGCTGAAATATTATTTATTTTAAATTTGATTGGCGCGCTTGTCTTTTGCTAGATATGAGCAGAACTTCTGCTTGTGCCTACCTTACATTTCTATACTGTACCATCCCTAAGAGTGTAGAACAGCTGTTTTTGCGATTACAAAAACAATTAGGCAGGCGTCATAGCAACGCGGAGGTACTAAACAAAGATATTTCTGTACATATAGTTTTTTCGTTAATCGTGGCGCGAGTGCAATGTTTCTTTTGGACAAAATACTGCCATTTATTTTCGGCTATATTAGGCCGTTTATCAAATGGTTCCTCCACGTTTTTACGCGTCTATCGGAGCTGCAGCGCATCTGCTACGGAGCCAAGGCGGGAGCGAGTCGAACGCGGCAGGTCAGTGCATGGAAAAGCTAGAGTTGTTAAAGTTGAATTTAAAGATAATTTTGAAAAACTTTAGGTCGAGCGTTCCCTGCAGCTGTCGAAGCATCCGGACATTAAGTGCCTGTTATTGGAATTGGATCAGGCGGCGCCATATGCTGATGATGCGGAATTGTTGTATTTTGCGCAACGAGCCACCCACGTAATTGGCAAAGTAAAAAAGATTAAGCCGAATGTACATCCCGATTTCGGACGCATCTTCGGCAATTGCATCACTGCCATTTATGGTTATAAACGCTTAATGCATACCGCAGAGCAGCTGCGAGCCGAAAAGTACGATGCCGAGAATCCGGAACACGAACAGAAACTCCTGCAATTATGGCGTCTGCTAATGCCGGAGGAGCCACTGACGGCCCGCATCACCAAACAGTGGCAGGATATAGGCTTTCAGGTGAGTTCCAAGCAACTTCCAGTAATTACACATTTTCTTATCAACTCTTTTTTGCAGGGCGATGATCCCAAAACTGATTTTCGTGGCATGGGCATGTTGGGCTTGGAAAATTTGCTATATTTTGCGCGCGTCTATAATGATGCGGCCAAACATGTGCTGCTCCACTCCAAGCACCCCACACTGGGCTATACGTTTGCCATTGTGGGCATAAATCTTACCTCTATGGCCTTTAAATTCCTGAAAACTGGGGCTGTGAAGACGCATTTTTACAATCAGGCGGCGACATATAAACAACATTATAGCACTTTAGAAGATTTTCATAAGCTATATTGCTACTTATTCTTCGAGTTCGATCGCTTCTGGATGGAGAGCGATCCACGCGATATAATGGACTTCCGGGAGATCTACCAGGCATTCGAAATTTCAAAACTGGAGGCCCTGCACAAGGATAGCACACTTTTTGTAACGAATCTCGTCGTCGAATCGGTCTAAACAATAATTCATAGACCCTACAGCCGGCCACAATACATACTTTATACATTTGTATAAATAAAGCTTAAAACCACAAACAATTTTTGTATAAATGCAGCATATATGCGTTTATTTGAGGAGCTATATATGTATATATATTTATATATAAGTATATAAATCGTTAGCTAGTTGCAAATGTTTTGTCACAATTTTTAAATTAAAAGCTAAATTAAATCACCTGAATGGAATGTTTCACATGCACAAATATAAAATTCGAAATAAATATTTTTTTAAATTAACACAAAGAAATGCTTTTTTCATTTGAGAGATTACAAATGGTTGGAAATACGATAAATATCACGCAAAGCAAAATACAATAGAAAATTGTACAAATGAGAAATAAATCAATAAATAAAATGCAATGAGAATGTTCGCTTAGAGGTTAATGTAAAAATGCTCAAGTCGTGTTATACTCAATAGAGTTTTGGTTGTTGTCGCAAGCTAGTTGTTGTTGTCGTTTTTGTTGAATATTTATTAATCGATGAGTTCCACTAACGATAGAACTTGACCTCAGCCTCCACACAGTCCTTGAGCAGTTCATCCAACTCTTCAGTAGGCTGATCTTGCAGTCCAAATAGCTGGAAGTATAGAAATAAAAATGCATTTTGAAATTTGTACAAGATTTTTAAAATCCATTCAGTAATAGTACTATCTCGGGTTTTCCATTACCCATTTTGCAGTTCATCAGTTTCTTAAATAAAAAACATTTTGTGTAACAATAATTCCTATATGTCAGCAGTCAGTAAGCCGATTTTTAAATGAAACTGAATTCTCCCAGCAACTTATTTATAACAAAATTGTTGAGAAACTTCATATTATAGTACAACTTTACAAGGAACCTATTTTTTCATATTCTAATGCAAGTCTAAGTATCTTTCGACGCCCCTAGATGCTTCAGTTTAAGAGTCTTCGATGTTTACACAGACGGACAGAAAATGTCTTCACCGAGTCGTCTGATCTTGAATTTCTAGTATACCTATTAAAACTTCAGGAATGGAGAATAAAAAGTCTAGTTAAAAAATAGAAAACTCCTCCATTTATCTTACATTATTCAATTCCTCCACACAGGATGCCTCCAGGCTCCTTAAGTGCTCCAAAGCAGCCGGTTTGCGTTGGGAGTGCAATTTATGCAAGAGCGTTACATCCGCCTCTGCCTGAACTTTGGTCAGTGGGGATACTCGGGGCGCTGGTGCGAACACAAATGGCTTAAACACCGACTCACTGGCATTGGGAGTTGCCGTAAACCAATGGCAAGAAATGCCCTTGGCCGAAAGCACAGAGATGCATGCCGCACGGGAGCTGGCGGCATTGCTGGCCGATCTTAGGGTCTCGAACATGTCGGGCAGCGTATACTTGGCATCTCCATTGGGTTCTGGTCCACACCAAGCTAATGGAGTCGTCTCCGCATCATGAGCAGCTGCAAAGTTGGCTGCGGCATCCAAGCCATCACTTGATTTATCAATCGTTGTCGTTACGGTTAAACCGCCGCTGGGAACGCGCAAATGGCCGGCCTTCACCTTTTCCGCTGCCCATACTTTGCCAGCACAACTGACCAGCCAAGCGCCTGTGGCATCACATACTATAAAGTTCAGCTTAGCTGCATCGCTGCTTTCTTTGGTCACAAGCTCGCCAATCTGTTCCACAGCGGACTCGGCGCTCTCCGACTGAGCTAAAGTCATCCTGCAATATTGGTTGAATAGCCGACTTAGCAGATTATCAATCTAGATGATTTTAATTTAACTTACCGCACAATATCAGTGCCCAGTAGGCCATCTTCAGACGACTCCTCGCCTGTGCTCCAAGTTAGGCCCACAACAACATTTCGCTCGTTAGCTCCGAAATCCCCGCCCCAAACGCCAGGCTTGGGTTTTTGCAATATGACACACAATTTAGTGGAGTCTCCGCCGCCGGCAGTCTTAGATGGGAAAGGGGTGGTAATGGTGATGAGTCATTGATCAAGTTCATTGTCTTTGTTTCCTCACCTTTCCCTCCAGCACCTCGCTGACGTCATAGTAACAAACCTCCTGCGACACGCCCAGCGCTGTCTCATCTTCGTTATTGCGACCAACAATTAAACAATCATTCGCACAACTATCCGGTAGTACGAGAAAACAGTCGCCATTCGAGCTCATTTCGTTTGAATACTAATGGTAATTCACAGACGGAGTTATGGAATTGATTTTTCCCACAGTTGTTCGTAGGCGGCGGGGCGGCCCGTTGGAGTTTTAAAAACTGAAGAGTGAAGCCAACAACTTCCAAAGAGTTTGCAAAACACCGACAAACCTTTGTACGCTGTTTTAGATCCTCTCTTTTATTAAGAATAATTAATTGAAATTAATTTCTTATTTTTCCGACTCGCAAACTCCAACTCCAACTGGCACCGCAATGGGATATGTTATCGAAAATGTGTCGATAATTACTGAAAAAAGAGTGCTGTAAAATTTTTTACTCTGGTTCCTAATCGCGTTGCAGTTCAACAAATACATCGATTGGTTTTTTTATTTTAAAAAATGTTTGTTTTGCTTTTAGTAATAAATTTATCAGTCGGTTTTTATTTCTTTAAAACGAATTTGTTGTTGCTACAGTCATAGCGAACAAGTTCATTGAACTAAGCCTGAACTCCACCAAACTGTGGGAGTGTGATTGGAGCCCTGGTTATAAAAGCAAGTCGAGTGCTTTCGGGTTCGAAAGAATTCGCGTTCGACAGAAAAACAAAAATTGGCGTGAAAAACTCGCTTTAAAACCACGAAAACCTCGTTATTAAGTGCTTTAAAACAATAACTACAACTGAAATTCAAGTGAACTATTTTAATGCTTTCCGAATGGCGGAAAAACATTGTAAAAGTTGTTAACTTTTTACAACAGCAGTAGAAAACGTTGCAGTTGTCGTCGCAGCGCTGCTTTGTTGTTGCGTAGGTGCTATTGCTGTCTCATTCTGGCAGATGATGACTCCAATCGGCTGCGTTATGGTGTAAGCGAAACAACAACAAACAAGTTACAAGGTGCGCGCCTGTGTGTGCGTATGTGTGTGTTGTAAATACTCGTGCATGTTGTTGTTGCTTCTGCTGCTGCTGGTGGATGTTCAGCGCCTTTTTTCGTGTGTTGATTACTTTACTTGCGTGCGTGTAACTTGTGGGCGGCTGTCGCATTGCTGCTGACCAACGACCAACGAAAATATCTAGACAAATTGTTAGAAGAAAACTACACAATAAATAAATGTAACAACGCGAATAATAAGTTATATCAAACAAAGTTAAATTATTGCCGCGCTTATAGCTGAAAACGGCCAGAATTGGTAAAGAAAATCAATAATTTCAAGCTGCTGTTCATTTTCCAATCAGAAGATACTGTGCATGTGTGTGTGTGCGTTGAAAATAACAAACAAAACGAAAGAATTTCAAGTTTTAATGCCGCCGCTCCCTAAACATACATACATACATATATACGTACATACTTCTTTTTATTTTTATTTTATGCTGATGTGTGCGTTGCTTGACCGCGCATTTTTCCTTATGTAAAACGCCGCTTTTTTGTTGTTTTTGCTTTGCGTGCCTGTGTGAATGAAAAAGTTCAATGTTGAAACGAGTTTTGTTTATTAAATTATAGTGAAACAAACATATAAACGTTAAAGTCACGTGAGTCCGACTCTTGCATACCCTCTACAATCGTCCCTGAAGGAGCCATACGACTTTATCAACCGATTTTGTGGAAGATTCAGATTAAGTTGTGCTTTTATAAAAACTTAAAATAGTGAATTTGGTTAATAATATATATAATATCTTACTAAGACTCATTTTTGCACTGATCGTTCCTATGGCAGCATGTGTTTGCAATAAACCTGCTCTGCCTATTGATAGGACCAATCCACCTACCTAGATTTGTGTCTTTAGTTTCCATATAGACTTCTTTCTACCTGTTACAATTATTTAGCGTTGAGACTTTCACCCTACGGGTACAGGGTATAAAAATCAATAATTTCAAGCTTCTTCGAGTGTACACATTTTTACGAAAAATGATAGAAATTCAACGCAATGATGACTTAGCGCTAAAAGTGTAAAAGAACGTGGAGGGGGGAACTAAACCACCCTCACTGCCTCTGCTCCAAATTCTATGGCGAGCATCTTGTTTTTCGAGCAAAGGAAATATATGGAGTAGCAGCGCACATTCCTACCCCATTACGGGCGGAAGAGCTAACGCGCCCCCTTTTGTGGCATTTTGCGTTACAAATACATACATTTATACAAATGTGTATATGTATTTGTGTATCTGTCGAAAGTGCATTGCTCTGCCCGCTGCCTCTGCTCCACGGCAGCTGCGTCCTATGTATTAGTGTTGTAAACATTACAAAAGAAACGTTCTATGCGGCCTCGTTTTATGTGCCCGTGGGCATATATTAGAGGTGGGCGTGTTGGCTCTTAAAGGCACGAAAATAACTTAAAATATAAGAACTCGTAAGTTAAAGTTTTAAAATAATTTTGATAAAAAAGTAACTGAATTTGTTATGAAAGCCCATTCCGCATATGTTAGACTTTGATTAAAATGTTAAAAACCTCGAAGTTGATAAAAAACAAACAGAAAAAAAAACCGGCGTAATAAGTAAGGTGACAAGTAACTTGTTTTGGAAGTTAATTGTGATTTAATATTACTACATACCTTTAATTTATTTTTGAAATCATAATAAAAAATTGTTTTTGGGACACGAACCCTTGCGTGCGCTTGCGTGTTTTCGAAAGTTCATGTAGTTCCGCAAAGAGCCGGCTCATGCCCATCTCTAGTTTATATATGTACATATGTGTGTTTGTGTGAGCCCGCGTGCTTTTATTTACACCGTTAGGCTACAGTGCTGACTCCAAAACGCGCTTGATTGTGCTCTGAACTCGCCTCACTGTTGGCAACTTGCGCTTCATTTTGGCAGTTGGCAACACGTTGACCCAATAACGGTATAAAGTGACACCCGCATAGTCACATACACTCATACGTATGTATGCATGTATATGCATATACACCAATGCAATCTCGTCATGAATGGAACACGCCCGCATGCCATGCGGTTACCGTTATTAGTGTTGTTGTTGTTACTGTTAAATCTCCACAGATGCGACCCATATATTTGTGCTATTTACGCAGCACAGTGGTGCTAAATAAACAAAAACTGCATCGCATTTAATCTCTTCACAATTTGTTACTTGCACGTACAAATTAAAATTGCTTTTTTTTTATTATCACACGTCTGACTGCGTGCGATATTTTTGCGATATCGTTGGCTTTATACAGACAGTTTATAAAATTATTGTATGTATTCTTGCAACTGGGTTTTCAATAGAAAATTGAACCATTAATAAACCGCAGTTTAAATAATATTAAATGTTAAATAAAATGAAACTAATAGTACGGTAGCAAAATTACTATCTTTATTAAATTAGTAATTACTACAAATTTCAATCACACCTCAGTATTCGACAATACATACATACATACACATGTACTCATTACAACAAAAGTTCCACCTTTGTCTTTATTTTTATGCTGCGAATTTCTTGTTTCGCGTCAAAGTTCATTGAACTGTTAAATCACAGATCGCATTTGTGTACGTTTATTTGTGTGTGTGTGAATTGAAATTTGATTTTACTTTATATGGCCTTTAATAAATTTAAATTCAATACTCATATGCCGCAAAACATTGAAAATCAAGTAGCCGTTGCTGATATGTTTATCGCCATAATTTATTTGCGTTTTGCGAATCAAATATAAAACAATAACAACAATGCCCCACAATGCCATTCTGCTAAGTGTTGGCGGCAGCGGCTAAATCACCTTGACATTGGGTTTCAGTGCCATGTATGTATGTATGTATGTGTTTGTTTATGAATGTATGTGCTATCTCGTTTGCACGCATATCGGCAGCGTTTGTAGTGCCGTTAAAATGTAAATAAATTAAGTAATTTTTAATAATGAATGCCTGCCATGGTTGTTGTTGTATTTTTAATGCAGCAGCTGCATACGTACTTCTCAATTCTTTCAAAATTGTTATTTATTTACCGTGCGCCGCCTTGTAACTCGATTTGTGAATGAATGATACGAGCATTGATATTGTTTGTGTTACATATGTACATATGCATGTATTGGGTGTTGGTGATTAAGGGTGCGAATGTTGGACAACACTGGTCAAATAATAATGACCTTGCAAATACACAAAACACCTGTCTGCACACCGGCATCTATCGATTGCAGTTATCGATGAGAAGCTTTTTACTTATTGCATGTCTAACCTTTTCTTTTGTAGCTTCCCGCGCCCGTAATCGAAATACCATCACAATTTCTTCCCTCGATGCACATCTGGAGTTAAGCTCCAGCACCGACAGCACCATTCACTCCTCCACGGGCTTGTCAAAAAAATTGGTCAAAATTAAAAAATACAAGCTGGACGACATGAAGGAAATGGTGGGCGGCTGTTGTGTATGTTCTGATGAGCGGGGGTGGCCGGAGAACCCGCTCGTCTATTGTGACGGCCAAAACTGCACTGTTGCCGTGCATCAGGCATGCTATGGCATTGTTACTGTCCCCACCGGACCCTGGTATTGTCGGAAATGTGAGAGTCAGGAGCGTACCTCGCGAGTGCGTTGCGAATTGTGTCCGTCGCGGGACGGTGCACTAAAGAAGACCGGGAATAGTGGATGGGCTCATGTCGTATGCGCTCTATATATACCAGAAGTACGTTTTGGCAATGTGACGACCATGGAACCGATCATATTGCAGCTAATACCACCAGAACGCTATTCGAAGAGTAAGTACATAGAGCTAACCAATTTTGTTGTTTGATTGACGGCATGTGAATTATACATACTTCTATTCTAAACATCTCTTGAACCAAACAACCAGCTTCAAAAAACCTCAAATAGAGAAAAATAAAATAAATGAATATAACTTTGTTAGAATATTGTAGGTATTAAAAGAATTTTGCAAACAGACGATCATCCCAAAATTGGTCTGCTAACAATAAAAGCTTGAGGCTATATTTTACGTTTATTTCTCTATGCTCCCATCATAGAAACTTTCTAAAACGTACCTTTTATCTATCCACAGCTTGCTACATTTGTTTGGAAATTGGGAAGCCGAATCGCGCCAATGTTGGTGCATGCATGCAGTGCAATAAATCGAATTGTAAGCAACAATTTCATGTAACCTGTGCCCAGAGTCTAGGTCTGCTCTGCGAGGAGGCTGGAAACTATTTGGATAATGTGAAATATTGCGGATATTGCCAGCATCATTATAGCAAATTGGTGCGTATTTGCAGAGACTTTTTACGTATATCTACTCATATTCTTGTACTTGCAGAAAAAGGGCGGCAACGTCAAAACCATACCGCCATACAAACCCATACAACATGACACCTCTTCTGATTCGTGTTCATCACCCGAAAAGGAAGTTGATTCGACCATGAATTCAGCAGCCACATCGGCGACAAGTATTAAAATAACCACAACACCACTCGGCGCAAGCTCAACCACACTGTCGTCCAGTGGCGGCGTCTCATCCTCGTCCAAGCAACGAAAATCCAATTCCTCCAATAAATCCTCAAGCAGCAGCAGCAGCTCATCATTTGCATCCACATCGGTGGGTGTCTCCAATCCCACGAGTTCTGTGAATGTTGGCGGAACAGCAAGCAGCACAAACACCGGTGGCAGCAATTTATTGGCCCTTGGTGGCAACAACAGCAGCAGCAGCAATAGTAGCAATGGTGGCAACAACAACACCGTGAACAGCAGCTTACCAGGCGGAAATAGTGTAAGTGGAACGCATGCCAGCAGCTCCATAGGCGGCAGTACAAGTGCTGGCCACTTACCCAGCGGAGGCTCCACTAACAACAACAACAGCAACAATTCAATTGTTGCAAACTCAAGCAGCACAAAATCCTCCGGCAGCAGTGGCAGCTACAAGGATGGCAGTAGCGGCTATAAGGAGAGCAGCAGCGGCTACAAGGAGAGCAGCAGCGGCTACAAGGAGAGCAGTGGCAATAGCAGCAGCTACAAAGATAAGGATAAGCATAGCAAAAGCGTAAGCAAACAATCCAGTTCAAGCAAGGATAAGGATAAGGATGGTGGCAGCAACTCAACGAGCAACATATTCTCCAATTCATCGGCTTCATCCACTTCCTCGTCCTCTTCATCTTCGCGTGACAAATCATCTAAATCATCGAAAAACAAAGATCTAGCTCAATTGAATGCCACAGCCAGTGGTGGCAACAACACAAATAGCAGCGCACTGGCCAGCAACACCACCAGCTCAAACAACAACAACACCAGCGGTGGCAGCAATCCAAGCAGCCATGTGTCGAGCACGGGCGGTTCACTACTCACTTCAGCCGCTGCTAACGAGCACAGTTTGCCACACGCACAGAATTTGAGCACCAACCAAGAAGCTGGATCAAGTGTTTCAAGTGGTGGCGGTGGCAATTCAATTGTTGCGAGTAGCAAACTCCAAATGGTTGCCAATTTAAGCTCCAATCTCAGCACAGGAGTTGGTGGCAGCTTCAGCGCCGATCTACACACAAGCGTCAGTGGCAGCACATTAAATGAGCCAATTGGCTTTGGTGGCAATAGCACTGGCATTGCTGGCAGCACAGGTGGCAGCAATATGTCCAGCGGCTTGGATACTTTGTCGGGTGCTGGTTCGTCCACAAACCAAAATATTGCCATCACCACTGGCATTACTGGCAGCGCCAATTCCAGTGTGGCCAGTAAGAGCTCTGGTTCAAGTAGTGCCACCACGGGTGGCATAACAACTGGTAGCTCCGCTTCAAAGAAACGCAAAGCGGAATCCAAATCTGGCAATATAACCACAGCGGCCTTAGACGATGTCAACAGGTGGGTGTCATCATAATTTAATCATTTCAATTTTTCTAATTATAACTTCCAATTATTTCTAGCTCATTCCGGGATGTGATTAAGGATGTGCATGTCACGCTAACGCCTTTAACAGACTTTGAAAAGGAAATTGAAAAAAGCTCCAAAAGGGTGAGTACCTAAATTGCTTGCATATATCTAAACTATATAGATTAAAATGTTGATCAGCAAGTAAACAATTTGCTTACGAAATACAAATTTAATTTTCGTATACAGAGAATATCTAAATTATGATCGGACATGCAAATAAATTGCCCACAAATGCCTCCAATTTCATAAAGCTATCATATTAGTCAGGTAGGCAATCAATTTGCCACATATTTTTCAAATCCCACAAATACATCTTGAATGTCCCTTTAAAAAAAGCTTTAATATTAGGTATACATACATACATATATACAATTCATGGGAATTGTAAATACTGTCGATATTATAAAATAAACAAAACGCTTTCTGACTTAGCTTTAAGTTAACTTGACACAACATATTTAACTAAACTTAATGATAATGTATCAAAATAATATTTTAAAGGTTTCAGTTAAGTTTAAGTGAACTTGGTCATCAATATATTCAATATTTTTGCCATAGTTTCTAAAGATATGACTAAAGTCGATTGGACTGATTGAGAAAGGTCAGCATTCATACCCATTAGTGTTACCAACGCATATCCAATTCAGCATCGATATCGAGTATATTTGCAACAGTTTCATAGCAGACAGCATTTTACTCTGCTTCTTTCCACATTTTGCTACGTTTTAATTTAAAAATCATATTTTTAAGCTATAGTTTAGTTTAAAGGATCTGTAGTACTAGATTTAATACTAAATTTAAATAAAAATCGTTTTAGCTAAGAATTAAGTAACGGGTACTTAGTTCTTTCAAAATTAAATCGGAATCATAAAAGAGAAATTAGACAAAAAGAATATCCAGCTCTTTGACAAAAGAGGCCTATTATGAAATACTCACAAAACTAGCCACTCTAAAAAATTCGTATTTGAAATCTCTTGAGTGTTTTTTTTTTTTTTTTTTTTTTTTGTTCATTCTTGGCTCGTTTATTGCGAGAGAATCTCTGTATACATTGTTGCGTTTGAGACGTAGGCGCCTGTCTAATCATTTTCTATTTCCTACACTTGTCTGCAACTTGTCATGCTGCTATTCTTCTGGTATAGCTCAGAAGAAAGCATACACTAGTCAAAAAATAATAAAAATGGTTAAAAGGCCATTTCGCTCGCACACGTTAGCCAAGTTTCAAGCGCAGGCGCATTGCCAACTTTCGTATCATATTTTTATATTTGGAAGAAAAATGCAATTATTAATGCATACGCAGGTGAAAAATTGTGGAAAAGTTCTATAAGTATATATATGTATACGAATATGTATATATACTCTACCTATATATGTATGCAGGTGTGTGTACACAAAGAAATGCCTTTTCAATATTTTCTATTTCTGTTTGCTGATTTGATTGATTGACGTGTGCAATGAGCCATGTCCCAAATGTGTTCCCATTGGTGCGTGATGCAAATTATTTTGTTGGCAAGCGTTACTTACATTCTTAATTAATTCAAAAGTGTGGGCTGATTGGCAAAATGTTTCATTGAAATCTAATTAAGCCAAAAGAATTTCATGAAAAGTATTTAAAAGAAATGCTCCAAACTTAATTGAATTATTTTAATTTAAATAAATATTCTTAATATTCACAAGAGACTATTCTTTAAACCGACGAATAATTTTATTTAAAAAAAAGTTTCTTGGCGCCTCAGAACATTTTAAAAAGCTGAATAATTTTCATGCTAAAAAGTGCATTTTTAGCACATCAAATATTTTCAATAATAATTTGGGGAATGTTTGAAGACCGCCAGAAAAATAATAATCGTAAAAAACCGCGATAATATATTTTTGACAACGCTGGAAACGATAATAATTTTGATTTACAAAGAAAATTCCTTACACAAAAAAAAAAAATTTACAAGTAATTTTTAAAATACTTCAACATCAACTAAAAAATTAAATTCAAAAAGAAGTATTCTTAGCATAGTAAAGAATTTTCTAAAATAGGTTTCGAGAACTCTGGAAAATATTCTCAAAATCATTTGTAGAATTTCTGGAAAATTAGTTCAATAATTTTAATTTTTTAAATATTCTCAGTACCAAAACATTGTCGCAAATAATATAAAGAAGAACTCGACAAAACATTCAAATTTAAAACAAACAAATATTCGTAGCCCCACAAAATAATACCCCGAAAATAATATAAAGAAAAGCTGGAAAACATGCCGAATAATTTTAATTTACAAAAAAAAAAATTTAGAACGTATAAAATATTAAGCAATATGATTTGTTGTTTGAATCGGTTGTTGTTGTCGTCGTTGTTGTTGTTGTTGCTGCTGCTGCCATCTATATAGTCATCTTTATCGTTTTGTCTGTGGCGACAAACATTTACGTTTCGTTTCGTGCCGTGTGCAAACCATTTGGCCAACATTTTGACGCCTGGGTAGCCTCCTCACAAAAGTTGACAATTTTAGAGCGCGCTCAGTCGAAAATCGTTGTTAATCGAAGCTAATGCTCATCTAAAATTAAGTAACAATTTTTGTGCGAATTTTTATTATTACGAACGAAAAGTAAATATAATATAAAAGCGAAAGCCAATAAATAATATCAACAATTAATTTATACACATTATGTACAAGTGTCGTGCAAAAGCATCGGTTATAGCTGCAAATATCACCACAACTTAATTACACGCAATGAAATTTTGCTTGTGAAACCATTTAATTTTAGCCCAGTGTGAAATTCGGCGCATAATTTGACCCGAAAATTGTTCCACAGGCGTCGAAAACATCTCTCCCCACACACACTCACGAACACGAATAGCCAATTTATTTTTTTAGTTACAAAGCAAGCCATAAGCTCCTTTGCAGAAAAATTTTTATGGTGTGTGGTGAGTTGCGGTGGAGTACAGTGAAAACAATCCAGAAACCCACAGAGCTGAGACAAATTTGAAAAATAGATTGTATGACGAAAGCGTGAATAAGTTCTTAGAATCAAAAATCGATCAGAGTTCCCATAGTTCCCATATTTGAGTGAGAAGATAAAATTGAAGCCGGTTTTAGAAACCTTTACAACCTGCCCATTTAAGTTTCAAACAGATCTAAGATGGAATAAAATTTTCCTCACAACATCTAAAAGGAAGGTTCCTTAAATTGTGTTTAAGTACGTTTTAGAACACCCTAAAAAACTTTATTCTAGAGTGCCGAATGTCTATAAGATGGAAAGACATTTTGTATAATTTATCAGACATCCATTCTATAAAAAGTGTATTCAAGTTCTCAAATGTTTATCTGCATTATAGGACATATTATAAAAGTTTCTAGACACCGTTTTTTCTTCAAAAAGTAATCCCAAGAAATGTTTTAAAGTACAAAGTGGGGCTCTGCTTAAATCGAATATGTAGAAGGGGCTTTTGAAATTCCCAATCATTTTTATTCAAATGCCTAAGATCTATCAAAAGTAATCAGACTATCCCTATATGTGTCATGCTACAAAGCTCTCATATATTCTATTCAAATAAGTGTCGTAGATCCGTTTTGTTGTTAAATTAGTCAGCACACAGAATATATGTTTATAAAATAACGCATTAGTTCATTTTAGAAACAGATTCTATTTTATTTCAATGCTAAATATTGTGGATATTGTCAATTTAAGATAGCTGAGATAAGGAAAAACTCTAAAATAAATTCCAATTGTATGTTTAAGATTGTAGAACAGATTATTACCCTTTGTTGCTCAATAAGTAGCCCTCGTTTTGAACCTTCTTTAGCTTCACACTTAACCACAATTTCCGTTTACAAAACATATAAAAAAGGTTGAGAACTATCTGTAGTATTTAGTTGATTCCAAGATATTGTTTCTCTGATCAAATTCTGGGGAATTATTCCATCAAATTGTTAACTAATCTTTGTTGTGAAGTTAAATTTCAACTAAAAAGACATAAGTGTTGTGTCTTGACATATTTGTTGTATTTAAATAAACCCCATTGTGCAAACTGAGAACATCTAAACAGACTCAAAAGATTTGTGTATTATCTGCATAAAAGATATAGAAAAACTGTGTTAGTTACTCTCTACGATTTCTTTTAGTCAGCTTCTACTGTCACGACAAACTTAAAAAATTTCACACAATATTTTTCTGGCTACCGAACATAAAAACTGAACAGCAAAACAGAATGAAACTGAACAGCAAAAAGTTAGAATGAAAAATAAGAAAAACAACAACTTTCGTAGAATTTTGTATAGAAATGTTGGAAAACCACGGGCAGAGTCGCCAACGCAGCCAACGCAGCCACCGCCCGCTGCAACCACCCATGCCCCCAGATACATAGTCATATTTCCATCCCACTCTACACTTGCTGGGCAATATTAGATGAAAATTCTTTAGCACTGTTGCGCCTGCCATAGCCAGAGCACATCTAAAGTTTCTCAACTCAGATCTGAGGAAGAAATTGTCGGTCTCAACGCTGTGCGGTGCCGTGTGCACTCACAATTATATAGATTAGTTTGCGTTGAGCAATCTTCCAGTTCAGTTCTCGTTGCTTTCGTGTGGTGTTTGTTCGGCGGCGCTGTACGTTGTACGTTATTCCGATATACATACAATATATATATATATATACTATATAGGGTATTTTAGCAGCGGTTAACCGATATTATCGCACGACGTTGTACAATTGCATTGTGTATATATTATAAATGCATCATCATCATCATCATCCATACCTCCACTATCCCATTGCATATCTAACATGTCAAACATTTCCACCTATTATCGCCCCAGATATTTGTCTGAAACGTTCGTCCTATTCTTCAGTTACAGTGACTCACGTATATGGTTTTTGACATCATCATCATCATCCGCCAAGAAATGGTATTTGTCATAGTCTCTCGCGGGTATATAGAGAATTATATTCTTTCACCTGTGTTATTTTTATAGAAAAATTTTCTGTATTTTTCAAATACAAATTCACACGCGTATATCGTATATAGGCGGTATATGTATATTTATTTTTCTTTCGTCTACCCTACTGTCATATTTATCTAACGTGTGTGTGTGTGTGTGTGTGTCTGCGTTTGTTGAGAAAACAAGAATTTGTATTTTCGAGAAAATCTAGTTGGCAGAATCGCTGATTTATGTCTGTACATGTGTGTAAAAACTCATTAACATATTGTCCGCATTACGTATAACGCCTGTTGGGTAATTTATTGGCTAAAATGATGACGTTCCGATCATCGGATAAGGTTTTAATAGATGGCCGGTTTCGAAATAGAAATTTTCCCAGCGAGTAGGTCTGTGATGCAATTTTTAATCAATTTTATAAAAATTCTCTTCTAGGTTTTTAATAGCCAGCAGCTGCAGAATTTTATCAAAGCTAGAAATCTTTCGAAATAGCTGGACGCCAGAAATAGTCGGAATTAGTGTTAGGCGGGTAAAAACATAGAGTAGTTTGATTAACAAAGTTGTAAAAGTCTACATTCCGGTAGTCCAATTTCTAAAAAGGTTGCTTGCAAGATAAGAATAACCCTAGACTAAAATTGTAAAAGACATAGGAACCGGCTTTCTTCATCTGAACGGTTCTGTAATCAAACAGTTGAAGTACTTTTTAGTAAAGAATCTACATCGGTCCCACAATCAATCCAAATTTACAAGATTACAGATTATTAAAGAGACACCGTTTTTTCTTCAAAAAGTAAGCCCTAGAAAAGTTTTAAAGTACATCCTTCAGATCAAATGCATCTCCTTATCCTCCTTATTTCTTAAAATGTGACAAAAGAGATCATAATTTCTCCCAACCTGATGAGGCGATCTTCCTTAATAATTTAGTAGACCTATCAGATCTTCTACCATTTCATATTTGTTCCAAGATTGGATAATTTCTTGTATCTCTCCAATCTCATTATTCTTGCAATATGTCAATAAGTCAATCACATTCTCTGAAGCATAAGGCGTTCTACTTCGGGGATCTATCTAGCAGTTCTTATAACTACCCATCCATAACGTGTACTAAAACATTTACGAAATCGGCATTACTCATTCATTTATACACCTTCCCGACTCATTCACCGCTGCAGTTCCATCTATAATGTCAATGAGTGAAGCCATTCTATGAGTTCTCTTTTTGGTCTCTGTTTGCATTTCCAGATAATAAGCAATAATACATACTTATATAATTGTACAAGTAGAGTTTAAAAGAAAGAAAACAGACTTCCGAAACAAACAAAAATGCCTTTCCAACCGATTGAGGCCCCGAAATGTCCGCGTTGCGGCAAAAGTGTCTACGCAGCCGAGGAGCGTCTAGCCGGTGGCTATGTATTCCACAAGAACTGCTTTAAGTGCAGCATGTGCAACAAATCTTTGGACTCGACCAACTGCACAGAGCACGAACGCGAGCTGTACTGCAAGACTTGCCACGGACGTAAATATGGGCCGAAGGGCTACGGTTTCGGTACCGGTGCGGGCACACTCTCCATGGACAACGGTTCACAGTTTTTGCGCGAGAACGGCGAAGAGCCATCGCTGCGGAATGGAGCTCGTTTGGAGCCACGCGCCATTGCGAGAGCACCCGAGGGTCAGGGTTGTCCCCGTTGCGGTGGCTTTGTGTATGCGGCCGAGCAGATGTTGGCCCGCGGTCGCAGCTGGCACAAGGAGTGCTTCAAGTGCGGCAGCTGTAACAAGGGTCTGGACTCGATTTTGTGCTGCGAGGCGCCCGATAAGAACATCTACTGCAAGGGCTGCTATGCGAAGAAGTTTGGACCCAAGGGTTATGGCTATGGCCAGGGTGGTGGCGCATTGCAATCGGATTGCTATGCACATGACGATGGCGCCCCCCAAATACGCGCGGCCATCGATGTGGACAAGATTCAGGCGCGCCCCGGCGAGGGTTGCCCCCGCTGTGGCGGCGTTGTCTATGCCGCTGAGCAAAAGTTGTCGAAGGGTCGGGAGTGGCACAAGAAATGCTTCAATTGCCACGATTGCCACAAGACGCTGGACTCGATCAATGCCAGCGATGGTCCCGATAAGGATGTCTATTGCAGAACCTGCTACGGCAAGAAATGGGGACCCCATGGCTATGGCTTCGCCTGCGGCTCTGGTTTTCTGCAGACTGATGGTCTGACCGAGGATCAAATTAGCGCCAATCGTCCGTTCTACAATCCCGACACCACATCTATTAAGGCACGTGAAGGTGAGGGCTGTCCCCGTTGCGGTGGCGCCGTATTTGCGGCCGAACAGCAGCTCTCCAAGGGCAAGGTGTGGCACAAGAAGTGCTATAACTGTGCCACCTGTCATCGTCCCCTGGACTCGGTGCTGGCCTGCGATGGACCCGATGGCGATATTCATTGCCGCGCCTGCTACGGCAAACTTTTTGGCCCCAAGGGCTTTGGCTATGGTCATGCCCCCACTCTGGTCTCCACCAGCGGCGAATCGACCATACAATTCCCCGATGGTCGTCCACTGAATGGTCAGCGCACCTCCGGTGGTTGCCCGCGTTGCGGTTACGCTGTCTTTGCCGCCGAACAGATGATCAGCAAGAGCCGCATCTGGCATAAACGTTGCTTCTACTGCTCCGATTGTCGCAAATCGTTGGACTCGACAAATCTGAACGACGGCCCTGACGGTGATATCTACTGCCGGGCATGCTACGGACGCAACTTTGGACCCAAGGGCGTCGGCTATGGTCTGGGCGCGGGCGCTTTGACAACGTTCTAAACTGTTTTGACTGTCTTGTCTATGGATCGTTCCGATTTTTGTCGTCTAACTATCTATTGTCTACCTATCTAACTATCCAGAGCTAGCTAACTTAGTGTTTCGGTTTTTCCAACGATTTTTGATGAACGACACAGAAATTGCACAAATTTTTTAGGTTATATGAGAGAATAAGCTTAATGAAACAAAAATACAAAAATAAAAAAAAAAATGCTAAAAAAAAAATAAACAACTTTCGAAAGCTATTGTATTCAAACGAAATTAACTATCGAACGCTAACTAACGATACATTTTTTTGTAAAACGATGACTGTGCGCAATGCGACGTTGTCAACTTTTGTCACCAACTGTACGATGGCAGTGTGGCACGCAGAATGCTGAAATGCAAATGTAAATGGGGCAAACAATCTTTTTTTTTTTTGTAATGCTCCCCACAGTCGTGTTTATTGTCTTATTTATTTCCTAACCTATGTTTGTTTTATTTCTTTACAAACGAAAGCACAAGAAGAAGATGAAGAAATAAATGTATGTGCTATGCTCCAATATATAAATGCAAGCAAAACTGAAGAAAAGAATAACTGAAAAAAAACATGCTATAAAAAATGATATTTTATATATATACTATATACAAAAAAAAAAAAAAAACGCACGCAGCACAACAATACTGAATAAAACGTTAAAGCTGTTGATGATGAGATGATGAAGATTATATATGTATATTTAGCTGATTTAGTTCTTACGATATATACTTACGAAATCTTTAATATTTATAATAATGATACATAAATTTCTTTTCTAATCTGAGCAAAATACTCGTATTTGCCCAATACAAGCAATATTTTCACTTCTGGCATATGTTGTAGATGTACAAGTATATCAAAAGAAAAACAAGATCCAATAATATATGCCCTGGTGGGTTCCATGAAAACAAAACCAAAAACAAAATACATATACAAGAAAATTGTTTTTCTATTCCATTTCACCTGCACACACATAGTCCCAATTATTTTAATTGGCTGTGCATACCTGTGGTGCTACACCTGAAGGGTGGGTGTTGAGCTATATCATCGGTTCTATATATAGGCGGAATGTCGATCAAACATGAACAAAATCATTTCTCAACGTACACGCTGTTGTGTGTCTTTGATTTGTTGTTGTTGCTATGTATGTTTTCTATTCGCTATATACACCTAGACATGTTTTTGTCTATTCAGCTCATTCGGTTACTCGAGAAAAACATTCTAAATGTTCCATAACCGTATCGAAACGGTTTTCTAAATATAAATATGATGCTAATATCCATATGCACATACATACAAGTAAGAGAAAACGGTGCGTCTATGCGTGCCGTACCCCAATGTGCGAGTGCGAGTGAGTGGCAGAGCATTGGTTTGGACACGTTGGGATCAAACTATATAAACCATTTGGTGAGCTGACCTGATGGCCGGGGCGCGTCAAGAATTCGGAGAGAGAAAACTCGTAGAATTTCTCAAAATTTGATTTTAACTCGAAAGTGCAAAAGAACTCAAGAGAACTTTCGGTGCGAACCCATATGAGTTCTTGAGAAATTTCCTATATACATACTATATGTATGTGCTCTTCGTAATGTTTGTTGTAGCTGTTAGATATTGTTTAGCTAAATGCCTTATTCAACAAGCCACGTGCTTAAAGATGTGGGAGTAGTATGAAAGCATTATTCTTGAATTCTTTCGCTTGTTTACCTTACTATGTTGCCTTAAGTGCCTCTAGTCCATAATACCTTAATTGTGCAATAGAAAATTGATGTCATGCCGCATTACTTGCAGCAGAAAGCACTTAAGATTTCAACAAATTGTCGAACATCACAATTTCTTTTACCCTATACTCACCCGCTTAGTCATCTGAAAGCATCCAGACTATTAAATAATTTTATACACTTCAAACAACAGGTTGGTGTCTAATGTATGTAAAAGGATAAGGAATGGAATGGAATGGGATGCAAATGAATCAAAATAATTTAGTGCATTTGTCTGTTCGACAGTATGAACCGAGACAACTTGTATACCACTTCAGCTAGGAACCCCAAGTTTGGCATAGAGAGTTATCTTATCTGTTTGCAGACTGAGTTCTATGCAAACCATATATAGCATCTTTATTTTATATAGCTACCATAGAAATAACCGATTCAATAATCAATCTGAGTAGCATAAACTTGTTTGCCTATAACGTTTTTGTAACCACTCTATTCTGAACCGAAGCACTAAATCATGTAGTTACAAGAAATACAATTTCCATTTCTTTATGGGAATTACAAGAATTGCACGACCCTTAACGTTCGAAATGCTCTCTAAGAGTTCCGCTCACGTTGTTTTTTTGTTGTATTTGTAATGACGTTGACCACTAAAATGTTGCTATGCCAACATATATAGAGGCCATTTTAGATAATATTTATTCACTAACGTATACACATAAGAACAGCAGACCCAGACCCCATCGGGAGGTCGTTTCTTAGCCCCCCACTCAAACCGGCAGGCATGCTGGCAGGCAGGTGTGTTTTGTGTTGCGTTGAATATTTTTTGTATCTACTATATGTAAATAATTCAATTTGTGTATTGCTGGCACAAATCTTACAGTCATATAGCATATATATTTTTAGACCTTCCTAGTCAGCGTCTATTTTTGAGTGATTCGTTTTTGAAAATTTTTGCACATGTGTCATAGCTCTTTAAAAACTTTTCCGATTGATAAACAAAAAATATAAAAATGAGCAAAATATTACCAATGCCTGTGTAGCTTCATTCAGCCCCCGGGGCCATAACGCTGATGAGGTCTATACTTGAATACATATTTGCGGAATTTGAATCTTTTTAATTAATGCTTAATATCTTGTGATCATTGGTGCGAATAGATTTATGCGTTCTTGTTGAAATTTGTGTCTATTTGTATATGGAAGTGATCTTGATTATGGCTTAGATTAACGCATAAACGTAGAACACATGTGGGTGGGTGGGTGTGCCGATAATTTGCTCTTTTCCTAAAGGCAAATCATGTCAAAATTTGACATTTTGTGAGATGCACTGACGACTTTACGGAACATATTGAAATGAAAAGAAATAGTGGACAATTCAAATACTGTTATTAAAAAACATGAATGGAAAATGAAACAAATGAATAATTAATATAAATCGTTAAATATACATACGTTATATAACTATAAAAGATTCGCTTTATAAAGAGCGCAATATCTTTATAATAAATTACTTACTTCCCAAATTCCATTTTCAATCGTAAAAACAATATTGGCAGTTAATCTAAATGTGTTTATAATATAACTAAGAATGTCTTTTTGTTGCTTCAATTGAGCAATTTTCCAGGGATTATATTATAAAGAGGCCAAGTTGATTGGGCCTTCAAGTTAAAGCCACAAAGTATAATAATCAACTTTTCCGTTTTCGTTACGAGTATTGGGAAAAATGTCCTAAAATGCCAGTTATAGAAAAATCTAATTTCGATGGCATTGGATGGAAGTGAAGACAATATCTTACCTTTTCTTGAAATCAATAACTTTTAAAACTCTAATTTTATATTTTCTGAGAATTTTGAGCTCTTACTGACATGCAGGCGGACAGTTTAGGCGAGTCCATTTATCATTTGTCCTTCTTTAGAGAAATATATTAAATTATTTCATAAGTCATTCCTTTGCTTGAACGCCTATGATTTCTTAAACAACCCGCCTCTAGCGTTTGGCTACATTTATTTACTCCACAAGTGTTTGAAAGGGACTAAAAAATACATACATACATAATTTATACAACATTTTCGTGACTAGATTGCATTTAATGGCAAAATTATTGATTTCACATTATAAAATGCTTTGGCTATGAAATGCAATCAACAGCAGAAACTAACCACAATTGACAGTCTCAGGGTCGAAATGTGGGGGAAGTAGCAAAGTTTTTGTTGTGAGTGTGGTTTAGGGGTGTTGATGTTTATAATACTACTGTGTCTACAAATAAAACTCGTCATTTGTAGAAAATTGTTAATTCTAAATTGGTTTTGGCTTCGTTCCCATATTGTCAAATGTGGAAAATGAAAAAGGACCTCAAGTTGATTGGAAAATTATGTTAACAATAGCGAGATCTTGTGTTATCCCGGTATATTAAATTTATAAAGATGATGTTTACCAAAAGTGAAGTATATAGCAAGCTCTTGTATTACCCTGGAATATTAAAATTTTTTGTATTAATATGATGGATACTAGCAAGAATGTATAATTCAGTTATTTTTGTTGTCGATATTAAAATTTTCAAAGTCATATACTCTTTCTCAAATTATGCTTCTTAATAAAATGTAATAACAAAGATGATATGGATAGCCACTTTGGTAATTTAATATATCTCATATTACTTATATTCCTAAAAATATTAGCCCTAAAAGGGAAATATGTAAAATCTTCTCATCCGTAAAATATTATATTATTTGATATAAAGAACAGACCTGCATATCTAAATTAAATAAAAATGAGTCACATTTATTATTCCGCAAAAATTACCCCAAAAAAGGCTGACCAGTGAGCATCCTTGCTCTTAAGGGCTGATTTTAACCCCGCGGCTGTCCCAGAGTAGCCAAAAAGATGCCCTTTCTTAAAGGTTTGTTATGCAGTAGTAAAAAATATATATAAAAAAGCGTACATAAATTATGCGTCTATATTTAATTTTTAGGGTGGGTGATAATTCACAATTTTGTTATTTACCGTTTCGATTATAAGCGCCTGTCAGAAGTATGACCGCCTTAATGCACGCGTGCCTGCGTTACACCCACACTCATGCACACACGTGAGTGTCAAAATCATTTATTGCTCTCAGCTGTTGTGCGTTTTATGACCCGCCTCCTCGGCCTGTAAAAACTAGCCCAGAATCGGCTTAAGCCCAAAGCGCACACATTGTTAAGTGATTTCCTCCTTCCTTTTAAATGGTCATAAAAAATTATTTTGACAAAATTGTTTTTCCAGCGCAATTAATATGTTTAAAGGCGCTCGTATCGTGACACACGCATATGTATAGGTGTGTGTATGTACACAAATACCTATTTAGTGCAGGTCACCCAGCAACAAAAACAAAAAAAAGTAAATCAACACCTTGCCCGTGTATTTATTTGCGTGTTGCCTGCATTTTTCATCAGTGTATGTTTATGTGTATGCGAGAATAAGAGTGTGAGTAGGCGCGACACGTGTCCCTTTGCAGTTTATTACTTATACCTTTTTCCAAAGCTGTTAACAAAATTACCGTTTCCTTGCCAGCCAGCCCCACGTTCTCAATCTCTCCCACGCACGCTCTTTATGGCTTATGCATATGAGTTGCGTGCGTGTCTATCTGGCAACACTGCAATGCATAAATTCACCAACCCTCGTCCCACAGGTTTGTTTTTGCATTGCCTGCGCAAATATTTTTCTGTTGACATTTTTAATTTAATTTAGTTTGGCTTTGATTTCTATTTACTGTCCGCAAACACTTTTATATATCATTATTTATCATCGATATTAAATGAGTTTGTTTTGTGTGAAGTGCGCATGCAAAGTTAAACCCTGTCGCCTGATTAAATATTTGACAATGCCTTTATGCTCTCTTTGTTTGACTTTGATGGTCCCCC